GATATTTCTAGATAGCCACGGACTGAAGCAGTTTATTTTTCCTGGCAATAATCAGGCTGCTGTGTCTGAATGTAGCCTGTTCTGCAGTAATTTAATGGAGCCCAAACTAAAAGTTCACCTGTAAGGAGGGCAGAGTACAGTATATGGGAATACAACTACAGTATTTACTACTTATTCCTATATAAGCAGAGTTTTCAGCACCGATGGTGTAAGGCTGTAATCCAACCTTATATTCCCAGTGCTGCATGGAAATTAAATAGCTTGAATTTCTTTTCTGTGCCCACCTCTGTCTAGTCTATATGGATTTATTCTTGTTGAAAGTGCTTTGAAAAATAAAATACCAATTATGCTGATGTCACAACTTTCTTATAACATTTAAGAAATTGTCACTGTGTAAATGATGTTTATTAACACTTTCAAGTGTTACAGTTGCCTGCAAGATATTTTAGTACTCGACCATAAATGATGAATGGGTGACTATCACAAGCTCGTAAAACATTTAAGGGTGTGTACTATAGTTACATGCTACAGGAGTTTGCAAAGCCATTAATAGGCAAGGGAAGAGTGACTTGTTTGTACAGACTGGCTTGGATCCCCTCCCCAGCCTGTGAAGTTTGTCGGGTGCCTTAGTGGAGTGGCAGCCTAAAACTTTGAGGAGGTGGGCATCTGGGAGTGGAGATGGATGTCATCTTTCTCCAGACAGTAGAGGCAACTGACACAGCTTGTGAGCGTTACAGATGATCTAGTAAAGGACTAGAGAGAGATGGTGGATGAGTGAGATCCTCTTTTGAAATCTGTGTGGCATTCCTTGTGCGACACTCAGATGCTACCTTGCAGGAAGCTGAGTAAGCTGTGACCCTGCATGAGAGCCAGAGACACAGGGATATGGCCACGGCCACTCAAAGCCCTTCACTATGTGCTGGTTGTTCTCCATTTGATCTGGGACTCAAATCAAACCTGATTTCTGCCAGGAAATCACACCAGTGAGCATGTGCTGCTGCTTAGCCTCAATGTGCAAATGGGCTGTGCTGGCTGAGTCCAGACAGGAGAACCTTCGCTTGCCCAGTGGGAGGTGAGCTGTGGAGGGCATCCAGAACTCTTCTGAAAAGCTAACTAATAGAGCAACCCTCAACAAGAGACAGCATAACAAGGAAAAGTTATTTTGCTTTGTACAAACCGTGTATCACTGGTGCACAGTCAGTCTTCTCATAGTTTTACTCACTCATTCTTTCCTACTAGGAAGCTTGAAGGTGTGTCTGCAAGGTCTGCCCAGGAATATTTGTGGTGACAAAGGATCAGAGAAGCTAGCTATTTAGAGCTATTTAGTTCTCATAGTGCCTTCTGGGTTGTTATTAAAGGCAGCCATGTGGTTGGTTTATGAATGTGTCTTTTACACCTTTCAAAAGATGCCAATGACTGAATCCTTTGTCTCTCCATCTGTCCCACATCTGTGAGTCATTACGCAAAATTGCTGATTAACTCATTGCTCTTTTGTCTCTCTTTCTGGGTGTAGGCTGCTGTATTTAGGTTACCAATTGGTTTTTTTTTTTCAATTTGGATATTTGTAAACATTGCAGATAGTTGTTCTGGAGACTTTATGACCTACAAATTTAGCTGCCATTAACACGTGCTTTTCTATCATCCCTTTTTCTTCCACTTCTTCCTGTTCTCCCACATCACACATTTTCTACTTGTGCTCCATCCATACTGATGCTGACATTTCTACTACTGCTCTTCACAGAACTAAGTGCAGGGCTTCTGCTGGACTTGGGATCTAATGGGTCTGCAAAGGCAGAAGACTGAGGATGACATTTTCTATTGAAAAGATTTCCAGCTCATTACAGCAGCAGCTCAGGCTTGCTTCTGCTTCACAGGGAACAATGCAAATATGAACTTCTAAAATTAAAGATAGCTCATGCGAATGTGCAGCATCACGATAAAAGAAGCTCAGTACACCTGTGTCTTTTAGGATCATTTCCTTGGTGTTTGTAACGAGGAGTCCACCGGAGCAACTTTAGAAGTGTTCACAGCTGTAAGATCCAGAGCATCTTTATAAATTCCATGAGCTAGTGTCTCCAGGCACAGGGGTGGCCATGGGTGTGAAGGAGGGAGCCATGGATGAAGCCAAACCTTGCCTGCTGTACAGTGCAAATCTTTCTAGAAGTGTGGGAGAATCAGCTGAACCACCTGCATCTCCCCCAGACCAGCAGCAACGTCCCAGTGAATGCATCAGTGTGGGAACTCACTTTGTCAGGAAATCAGTGATGGGCTATGAGCCCAGGAAGGCTACAGTAAACAGGCTCTACTGCTCAAGGGACACATTCTGGCTGGCACAGAGGAGAGGCTCTCTTCCTACCATCAAGGAGGAAGGGCCCAATGGTATATACCATAGCTGTGGCTGTGGGAGGAGCAGGAATACCAGGTTGGTTGAATGGGATGGCCATAAGCTCCATGCTGGCAAGACCACAGCAAGGCAGGCTGGATATAATGGCTGTGCTGCCATCATTTCAAGGTAGGAAGTCAGGAATTTTCTGGTGGCAGCTGCGATCTGTGGCCAGTGGCATTGCTCCCCCATTGTGTGCTGCAGCCGAGTGGGGAAGCCACTCAAACCCTCACTGAACACCCCCAGCACTAACACGTGAGGAGCTGTAGGAGCAGAATCTCCTGCAGGGCTGCCTGGTTCGTTTGAAGGAGCACTTCCCTGTTTCTGTTTACACAGTGATACTTCTCTCCTTCAAGCACTAGGTTTGCTTTTTCAGGGTGATACCTTGGAGTTTTGATGTTTTGATTTTTTTTAATTTTTGTAGATCTTAGAAGTAGTTATGTAGTAAATGTAGATTTTAGAGTAGCATTGTATTATCCCTTTACCCTTTAACACACCAGCTCAAATCCCTGTTACCCATTCCCATATCAATTTCCCTAAATTCCACTGGCCTGTTTTGTCTCTTTTTCAAGGTAGAATTATAGGGAACATCTTAACCCTACGGAAGAAGATACAGCCATAGACGCAACAACCTTCAGTCCTAGAATTCTGGAAGGCCTCCAAGGACATTACGTGCTCTGAGGAAGATGAAGATGAGGAAGAGGGGGTCCCAAAACACCCCCAGACCCAATTCCCAAGAGGCGTGGCAGGGGCAGAACCTGGGTGGTGGCTGGACAGGGATTAGGTGAAAATCATTATAAAAACTGTGAACATCTGTATTTCAGGAGCATGTTGAGGGTATTCCAGAAAGCCTGGGGGCTCATTAAAGCCTTTGTATCCTTATCTTATCTCCTACCTAATTATGCTTGGAGTCTTTTTTCCCCACAGCCATTTAGGCAACAAGGGAAATGCCTGGTCAGACCTAAGACTGCAGATAGCCCAGTGGGATAGACTTGCCCCAAAATAATCAAGGGCAGAGATTCACTGGCTTATCAGATGGCTGGCATGGTATTCCTGCAGGACAAGGGGCTCCAGCTTCACACCAGGATGGAAAAAGGAAATGGTGATAGGTAATTTCTTCAAGAGGAGACAGAAATAGGAATCCAGCACACAGGAATATGGGCTTTCCTGAGAAAACAGATCAGTCCTTTGTCGTCTCACACTATTCCAAGCCATAAAAGTAAGAAAAATGACATATCCTTTCAAGGAAGTTGGAGACATTAATTAATGTTTGTAAAGCACTAAGAAGTATAGCAATAAATTACATGGGTGATCCTATGAGGATATTACTAATTGTGTATTCAGGGCAGAGTTTCAGTAAAATATAGTAAATGAGGCATGAGGCCATACACTTAACAATGAGGATAAAACAAGCTAATGAATAGGTGCTCATTAAATGTATGCCCTTCATGTGCACTTAAAGGCCAAAGGTGCCATGTAAAAAGGTATATGTTATCCTGTAATTAAAGATTTTACAGTGCATATAAGAGTTACAAGACTAATTTGTCTGAGAAACTTTTAATCAGGCATTTCCTACCGTCTGAGTACTCAACTTTGCAACCCCAACACTCTTTGAACATAGGCTTTTTATGGAATTCAATGGGAATTGTTTAAATATTGCGTTTCCTCTGCTTCTTTCGCCACAGCTGGCAGTGAGCTCCTTCTGCCATGCTGCCTTTGCTGACTGGAACAGACTAAATGGTTTCCTGAGTTGCCTTAAATCTCATCACCAAATCCTGTTTTTCGCACCTAGAATTCCTGTTCACCTTTCTCATAAAAGAACTCAGCCCCATTTCTTGACCAAGCGTGGCTTCACTAAACTTGTGTCTCTGTCAGGTCTTGTCTTTCCTTCTCTACTGTGTTTTCATACTATAAATACATGAATCTTTAAGACAACAATACATCTCCCTACATTTATTAATATAAAATGAGACCATAAGTGATTTAGTATTCTGAAGTTTTCCATGTCTGATAAATTAGTTCAGAGAAGTGTTTAGTTCGGTCTACATTAGGTTTTAATGAAATAGCAGCATGCTGACTGACTATATATAGAAGCTCAGACTGACTGTTCTCCTTCTTAAAAAATCTGAATTCCAGTATCCTGCTGAAAATAGTTAAGGTAAATAAAAAGCAGAGAATCAGATGGCTTCCAGAATTGGGTATCCTCCAGTATGTTTGTTTTCTATTGTAGATATTTCATAAATAAGGTCAAAAGAAAATAAATATTGGATACAGAGCTGTATCAGTATTGATACAGCAAGCACATTGATTTCAGTGCTTTTGCTGTTGTTTAACATGTACTAGCTGGATTTGTCCCAACACGTTCTGTTTCTGAAACAAAAACATGTAAGGATTTGGAACAGACCTGTGGCACAATGATCTCTCTGATCAGCACTTTAAATAATCACTTTTAATATAGGGTAGAAATAACAATTAGTGCAGGGGATGTTTTGACGTGGCCATCAGCAGGAAGTGGAGATGGCACTTGGTGTCCTTTGTGTTGTGCTTTTGTTTCTAATGTCTTTACTCCAATTGATCTAGTGGTTTATTGCTTTACAACTTCTCTTAACTCTCTTGAAGCATGGAAGCCCTGCAGAGAGACCTCAACAAATGAGAAGACTGGGCAATCACCAGCCATATGAGGCTCAACAAGGGGAAATGTCAGATTCTGCACCTGGTATGGGGCAACCCCGGATGTATGGACAGACTGGGGAATGAGAGGTTGGAAAGCAGTGCTGTGGAAAGGGACCTGGGGGCCCTGTTTGATGGCAAATTAAATGTGAGTCAGCAGTGCCCTGGAAGTCAGGAGGGCCAACCATGTTCTGGAGAGCATCAGGCAAAGCATTGCCAGCTGGTCCAGGGAGTGGATTGTCTTGCTCTGCACTGCACTGGTATGACCTCACCTTAAATATCATGTGCAGTTTTGGGCACCACAATATAGGAAAGATATTAAGCTGTTAGAGAGCATCCAAAGAGGGCCATGAAGATGGTGAAGAGTCTAGAGGGGAAGCGATATGAAGAGTGGCTGAGGTCACTTGATCTCTTCAGCATGAAGGAGACAAGGGGAGACTCACTGCAGTCCAGAGCTTCCTCGTGAGGGGAAGAGGAAGGGCAGGAACTGATCTCTGTGGTGACCAGTGACAGGACCCAAGGGAATGGCCTGAAGTTTTGTCAGGAGAGGTTTGGTTTGGATATTAGAAAAGGGTTCTTCCCCCAGAGGGTGGATGGGCACTGGAACAGGCTCCCCAGGGCAGTGGTCACAGCACCAAGCCTGACAGAGTTCAAGAAGTGTTTGGTTGATACCCTCAGGCACACAGTGTGACTCTTGGGAATGGTCCTGTGCAGAGCCTAAGGGGTGGCCTCAGTGATCCTTGTGTGTCCCTTCCAATCAGCATATTCTCTGATTCTGTGACTATTTTATGAGATATTAGGTTTTGTTTTCTACAAAATTTAAATATATCAAGCATGTAGGTTCTTCTTGTCGCTCTGAATTTTTCAAACTGGCACCGTGTAATTTCTCTTTGCGTTGGATAAGGCTGGTACAGTGATGCTATTATTTCTGCCCTCCTGAGCCTCCATGGCTTTGCAGAGATAACAGATCAAATGCTCACATCTCACATTTTTTCCTGGGACCACAGAACCAATGATTCTTCAGACACTATAAACTCTCCTAATTGTAAGATTCTCAACCTGAAAAAAGACAATCATTTATGTACTATGTGAATTCGAAATTCATTTGTACAGTATTCACTGCATTCTGTGTTCTTTTAAAGAGAAAATAGCCCTAAGACAGAATACAGATGAAATTTAAAGAAAAGAAACCAACCATTCCCTGCTGACACGATAATTTTACAGTGTTTCAAAAATTACAGAATGGAGTAAAATTATTTTATTGCTTTCTTTCATCATTATACCATAGTACTAATTATGTTCCTGGTATTCTAAAGTCTATAATGGTATTTCCTGTCACTGAGTTCCTATTTCTTTATTAAATAATTTTTTTAAACAATGCTTTATGCTTCTAGTAAGGACCTGGTAGCAGACTATCAACTTACCCACACCAGTGGGTAAGTTTTCATCCACTGTGAAAATAGAAATGATGGAACGATGATTGCATAGAATAGAAACAGTAGAAAAATGATTAATATTTTCCAGGATGATCAGCATATACTGCCACAGAGCGAATATGAAATCATCACATTTTAATATGGAAAACTGATGAAGTTTACAGCATAAATAATACAAGTTATGCAAACGTATCTCTGTATGCATATAAGAGACTGGTATATGGAAGGCATTACATTCTGAAGGATACTTGCTTTGCTGCAATCACTGCTTTGCATAGACTTCAGTTAGAGTGACCTTTTATTTCAGACACTACTCCCAGATGGCTTCAGAAAGATCTAAGGAATTTCAACCAAGGAACCAGCACTTCTCTGATAAAGATGGACCCACTGCCATGGCTCTGATAAGCTCAGGGCTTAACGTGGAACAAAGGGTCATTGCTGTCTGGTCTGAGAAGCATTAGCAAACTGCATGCAAACATAGGCAAATTTAATAATAACCAGTTTCAAGGTGCTTCCAGATCACTGCTAGAAAGAGATGCATGAAATATGACTCTATTCTTGTTAAGTGTACAATAAAGTTATTGAGACAGAGAATACATAATCGAAGGATTAACCTCCAAGGAGAAGTAGTTCCTCACACGAATCAAGCTTGTGCTACTAAAGGGAGTGCCTTAAGGCGATTTAGTCCAAAGGCCAATTGCAATAATACTTCAAAAAATGTTTTAGTGCAGTCCTTAAAGTAATGTACCTCTTCCTATGGCTTCTAGGGCACTTTTGGCAGCTGGGGATTTCTGCACAGAAGCCATCCCTGAGAGACCCCTATGACTGGAACTGCAAAAGGTGATGGCAAAAGGTTTGGCGCTGCACTGGCTGTAATGCTTCTGGGGACATGCTGGAGAGAAGCCCTTGGCCATGGAGGAGTGGTGAGTTACTGCAGCTCCTTTCCTCTATTTGAGCAAAGCCTAGAGACCAGGGCCAGACATTAACAAATGCTGAGCCCATAGGAAATTTCAATGTTAAGACTGTTACAGAACCATTAACGCCTGAATGAGGTCTCCAAACATAGGATGCCTGTCATTAGTACAGTCACCTGGCAAAATTTAGTGGTCTGGGTTCCAACCATACTTCCAGCAATTGTCATAGACTTGTTTGGAGACGCTGTCAGACATGACTGGAATCTTAATGGTCTTGTCCATATTTTACTTTCCATTCACTGATTACAGGTCCAATTCTGCTAAAACCATTGGAAATCACACCCCAATATTTGGCAATGGAAACTTAGCCTGTTCACTTGAAGCCGATGTAGCATTTTTCCAACATCTTCAATTAACTATAATCAGGAAGTTGTTCATGTTTTTAATAAGTTGATGGTAGACAGTTTTATTTTTAAGAAAAAAAACCAACATTTTTTGTTTCTTTTTTCCTCTCAGTAAGGTACAAGATTTCTGGTATGGACTGAAACAATGCATAAGTGAGGCAGATCAGGGTAAGATTTTGTTTGAAGAGCTTTGTCACTGTCTTTCCTGTCCTAATCACTACCCTATTTAAACATTCGACCTAATCTGCATGAAATCACTAAATTAGACAAATTATTGCAGTGATTTTGTCATACAAGCAAGTGCTTTAGGCAAATTTAGATCATCAGAATAATTTCTCATTTTCCCCACATTTATAAAGATATTTTGTATCTTACTTTGTCTTGTTGAGTATTATTTTAAGAGGGGCTTTGTAATAGAAAAGGAGATCTGTCATCAAACCAGTCATTTTTCTGGCACACTGCACTGCGAGTAATGCAATTGCTTAAATAAAAATGGTGCAGCTTTAACATCATAATCTAATCACTCATTTCTTTGCCTTTCATTCTAATAATGTAAGACATAATGAACTCTTGGTAGATATAGTAATACCCCTTAAGTATTTCTACAGGATTTATGTTGTCATTTAATATTATTTCAAAGGACAAAACATAATTCTTGCCATTTTGCTGCGTTACTCATTTTGTGATTTTTATGTTCTCCCACTATCACTGAAAAGAAATGATCAAATTAACCATTTTAACAAGCATTTGCTAGTTGTGCCTACTTACAATTCATTTCAATGACTAGTGAAATCAATCAAATAATGGGGCTTAGTCTCCTTTCCCTGAATAATGACTTCAAGGAAGATCCACCTCCCTCTCAGGGAAAGAATGGATAGCTGGGAATGCTCAGGGGAATAAAAGGGTTTAAAGCACCACACATAAAAGGCTGAGTAGAGGAGTCTTTGAAAATAAATGCAGGCTTCAACAAAGGATGAGAAAGAAAAGGGTACAGAGGGAGCGGCTCGGTGTAGATATGGACGGCGCATACAGAAGAGGTTACTGAGGCAATGCATAATACCCCAACCGAAGGGCAGATGGGCTGTAGGTGAGGGGTTGTAAGCTGAGGAAAATGCGTTTTGATGAGTAGCACAGGGTGTGCAGAGGCAGGCTGTGGCTGACGTGGTAATGAAGAGACCTGAAAAGGAAGCCAGTCTGGAAAATTAAATGAATTATCTCAGAATGAAGTGTTTGTATTTCCACTGGTATACAGTGAACTATTTTTCACAATCAAAAAATTATGGTGACAAAAAGAGAGACGGGGTCCATATTAATATTTTTTAAATGACAGAAATTATAGCAATTCTTTTCCATTTTCCCATATCTCATCTTTAGATTTATTTGAAAATAAAAGGCACCTGATTTCTCATCAATCCAGAGTGGTGAAAAAATCATAATATTGCCTCACAGTTACATAGTCTTGATTCTTTGTATTTGTAACAAATTCACACTGGAAGATTCTCTTGGAGGAGGACTGAAGTATACTGTAGCATTTCTAGTGAGTGTTTACATCCACTTCTCCAGACAACAAGCAAACATAGAAATGATCAAAGGAGTTGGTAGGTAACCTGCTGGCTGCAGTCTTCTTAGGTTAGAATCCTTTGAGTTCAAAAGATTGAAACCCTCCTATAATTATTTTAAGCCATTTTCTCAGTTTTTGTTATCGGTAAGCTGTTGATAGGTTAATCATGTAGTTAAAAAGGAACTGAGCAGGACTTCAGTGAAATAGCAGATTTGAGCTGTTGTAGCTGAAAGGCAGATTTGATGTAACATGGTGTCATGGTTTAATCCTGGCTAGCAAGGAAGCACCATGCAGCTGCTCACTCACTGCCCCACCAGCGGGACTGGGGAGAGAATCAGAGGGACAAAAGCTTGAAAACTTGTGGGCTGACATAAAGACAGTCTAATAGGAAAAGTAAAAGCTGCACACATAAGCAAAGCAAGGAATAAATTCCCTGCTTTCCATGGCAGACAGATGTTCAGCCATCTCCAGGAGAGCAAGGCCCTGGTGCATCTTAACTGTTGCTTGGGAAGACAAACACCACCATTCCAAACATCCCCCGCTTCCTCCTTCTTCCCCCCACTCTATATGCTGAGCATGATGTCATATGGTATGGAATATCCCTTTGGTCAGCTTGGGTCACCTGTCCCGGCTGTGTCTCCTCTCAGCTTCCCATGCACCCCCAACATCCTTGCCAGCGTGCCAGTGCGAAAAACAGAAAAGGCCTTGGCTCTGTGTAAGTGCTGCTCACCAATAACAAAAACATCTCTATCTTATCAACCCTGTGTTCAGCACAGATCCAAAACACAGCCCCATACCAGCCATCGTGAAAAAAATTAACTCTACCCCAGACAAAATCAGCACACATCGTTAACGTTTTTGATTTTGTTAGCGCTAACAACTTTGTGGAGATATGCTAAAAGATCATCACTGCCTGACAAAATTCCAATAATGTATGTTCAGCCACCTCCAATTACTGAAGCAGCAGTTGAGTCACAAGACTTACTCATGGATATTTGGCTTTACTCTCCACCTGAGATTACCTAATGGACTAGAACAGTCATGGGGCTGTCCCAGTACTGTAATGGCAATGTTCTAAGCTCTGTTTTTCTAGGAGTGTTTGCAGTGCTCTGGGAAGATCTTGTTTGAGCAGTTTGATGTCACTGAAGAGCATAAAAATGCCACTGTCCCTCCATAATACTTTGTTGAGGCTCAAATTCTGCAGTGTTTTTTGAATATGGAACACAAATTTTAAAATAAGTGTTAACTATTGGGACTATGTCAACTGGGACAGAGAGACAGGATAACCAGTGGTGGTCACAAGACTTTTGGATGATGAAGGGCATCATCAAGGCCTTCTTCTCTGAGTTGGTGCCATACCTTCACCATCCTCACACGAGATTTCAGAAAGCATAGCCATGTCCAAATAAATGACTGCCACCTTCTAGAGTCTTGCAACCTCTGACCATTACTACTTGGTCACTAATTCCTTTGAGGTGATCAAGTACACCATGGGCAAAGAGGTTATGGAGATTTTGTCTTCAGTAGTTCTGTGGGTGACATCTAAGAAGGTTTCCAAGACTTCCTAAATTGACAAGAATCATATTCTCCTTCTGCTTCCAGCCTACTGTAGCTACAACTACATACGTTGTAAGGCTTTGCTCAACCACTGAGTCTGCCACTGAGTTATCTTGCCCTTTGAGAAACTCTCATGGTACAGGTTTGTAGGAAACATCATATCTTCAGGGCTGCAGACTGCAACTACCTGAGATTTTTGGCAGGTATAAATATATATATATATATATATATACACACCTGACCCTGCAACCTCCCTCACACTTTGAGGCCACCCTTCAGGAAATGCACGTACCTTAGTTATGTGGTGGAGGTCCTTGTGATGCAAAGTCCACACAAGGATTTAGGACTAACTACTCCGCTGAGTGTTGAAATGCTGTGGAGCAAAGCTCCTGGTCTGGTTTCTTTCAACAGGAATTTGCTTTGTGCCTACCAACACCACTCTGAGAAACCAGTTAAAATTGCTCTATTGCTATGAACCAAATTACTAAGATAGAACGGCTGTGACTTAAAAGGACCTGAATATGTCTGTGCATGACCATGATCAAGAATTACTACTATTATTTTTTTCTTAAGGGTTTCTATTTAAAGTTGTATGGTTAAAAAGAAATAATATGATTACTGCTTACTGTTTCTGGCTTTCTGCAAAACGGAGAAAACTAAAAGGAACATTTTGTAAACAGAACAGCTTTGCAATAACACAAAGAACTGCATTCATAGTTTGCTTTTCTGCCATGCTGTAAATATTTCAAACCCAAATAAGTTTGTGTAGTAGCTGACAAATGTATTGTTTTTGCAAGTTTAAATCTTTGAACAATGTCATCTGCATTTTTTAAAAAAACATCAAATATATTAAAAGATCTGCAGTCCTCAGAAAGAGAGGAAATAGTAACATTCTTTGAAACTCGATTTCTGTATTTGCACCACAGTAGTGAATTATTTGCATATTCATTAACTAAAGGTTAACTTTTGTTGATTTCCTAAACCCTAAAGAACAGAGTCTGAGCTTTCAATTTTGCAGGTGTCTGAAGCTCTGTAGAACTGACGTTGATAAGCTCTATCATCTTGAAGACAAGCTCTTTTGTAGCTTTCATGTAAGTAATTTTCTTTTATGTTCTAGTTTTGCTAAGTTCAGCTGTGGTTGAGTATCTCAAACCATGATCACGTGGGCATTTATGGCTAGAAGCAAACTTCTCCACCCTTGCTCTGCACCACCTGTGTCCTGTGCACCAGCTGTGATCTGGAAACTGTGGGGCTGGTTTAGATGAGGAAGAGGGGTTTTCAGCAGCCTTGGAGATCCACACATGTGACTCTCTAGCTCCCAGACTGGCCTGAATCCCAGCATCCCTCAGCACACACATTTCATTTTGTTTCTGTTGGGTCCCTACCCACGTAGCTGTGCTTTTTCTTAATTAAACTCCATTTTCATGAAGGCTTCAGAAATCTTCTACAGTAAATCATCTCCTTTTAGTTATCATGTATGCTACTATTACTCAGGCAGTAGAAATAAGCAGGGCAGACTTGGTTTAGTTTAATATGTAATGCAGCTTTCAGGAACCCCCAGAATGCAGCAATGTCATCCTCTGTTGATAATAATCATGAAGTCACTCTTTAAATGCAGGATTTGGATTGCCTGTTGATGATTGCACCTGTTTGTTATCTCATTTGTGGAAAGTAGAGATCAGAAAGATGCATTAACATCTTTTGCTCCCTCAGTGCAGAACCATTCTCTCTATTTGATTTTTTTCCCTAGCCTAGCTTATCAAAAAGTTCATAAAATGGTGCCAGGAGAGTTCACTGCTAATGAATATTCTTTGATGCAATATTTCACTACATTTTTATGGGTGAATCTACAGCTGAACACACTTTTTTTCCTAGTGAAGATAGGTTATAAAGCTGTACCTGGCAAAGGGGTTTTCCCTATAACTTCTTTTATGGATGAAGGCTCTCTACAGCTTTTCCTGAGAACTTGGAGTTGAACAAGGCAAACGAGTAAACTTAACCAGAGAACTGGACTACAGAGCAATGTCTTCACAAGAAGAAACTGTTAGGGGCCATGGCAGGAAGATGAGATGTGTTTTGGTGAACCTTGAACCTCAGCTATGCTTATTGTATGAGCTGTCGCCAATGTGGCCATGCTGTGAAGAAGTGCAATCCCTGAGATGGGCTAGTGGAGAACTTTAGTGTAATTCCACCCAAACAGCAAAACTTCAGAAAGTATATATATATATAGATATTCTTGTGTCTGTGTCACTCCACTACCTTACTGAGCTAAAGTCTTGGTCCTTCAGCTTCTCTCAGCAGTCCTTTAAGTGGAAAATGGGAGCCAAGAACAATTTTTGTACCTAGGAAAGGGCTGGAGATGGAGGTTTATTGAATTGCAGTGTGAGGTGGGGAATGGTAGAAAGAAGATCCTGATTGGTACAGTTTGTCACTTCTCTTCCCCTGTGAGTCAATGCTTTTCTCTGTTCACACCTCAGTGATTCTCTCTCCCACTAGGCTCAAATTCTGCATCTCAGCAACCAAGAGGTATGGGCAATAAATCCTAAATACAGACAAGGGGTGCTTAAGATCAGGAATCTCAGCCTGCAGGATGAACCAAGAAGCTGGAGATGATGGCTGAACTCTGCCAAGATTCAGAGGAGCATAGCAGCATGCCAGATCCTTGCTGAATTTGAGTGTATCAGACTGGTAATTGTCCAGTAAGGGGCCCAAACTGCAGTGCTGGTTTTGTGGTAGAGTATCACCATTAAAGTGGTTTTACTACACAACTCACCGCGAAATCTGGCCAGTTTTCCAAGCTAATGTAGGGCAAGGCCTTGCAGACAAGTAACAGTGTATTCATATAGTGCATTTCTTTTTACCAGCAAACATGAAAAAAAGCGCATTGATTCCAGATTACAATGTCAGAGATACATGAAGAACATCTGTCACTGTGACAGAATCATAAATCATTGTGCTGAAATCCTGACATGCCTTTTTTCATAGGCAAAGTAATTTTTTAAAATGCGATATAATTAAGTTGCTTAGCGCCACACATTATCTATTTTAAACCTGTTATTTTTTTCTCATGTGAAAAATGTCAGATGAAGCACACCAGTTTCGTTTTGTTTTTAAATTAAGCTAGTAAAAAAAAAAAGACTACTATATACTATGGCAATTCAGGGTGCTGCTAAGAATTATCCCATATGAAGACATCATAAGGAAAATAAACCTGTGAGTAAATGAAACAGTGCTGTAGGTGTACCAGCAAACCACCCTGATGTGGAAGACAGATAAGTAGTAATAGACCAGTATAGCTGCATCAGGAATTCTCCAGTGACTTGAATATAGAAAAGGAAATTCTATAAAAAATGAAAGTGAGGGCACAGAAGTGAGATGAGTAATAAAGCAGTGGCATAAACATCTAGGGATAAAACTAGGAAGAATCAGTCACAAAATTAGTTACAGCTTTCCTGGAGTAAAAAATGGAAGAGGTTCTATAAATACCAAGAAATTAGAGGAAGAGAAGTGTAGAGGCACAATTAATAGACATACTGAGTAGAGTGAAATGTTTTATTATTTATTTTGCTATGTTCTTTACATGCACATAAACATTAATGACAGGTACTTAACAGCACCATTTTTTAACAGGGGAAGGACATAGGCTAGATTAGGGAAAAAAAACACAAGTAAAAGAATGTTTGAATAAGTTATACATATGCAAGTTTCTAGAGCTTGCTGAAATTTGCTTAATACCTACCGGGCTCTTAACTTATCTCTGAGAATTCTTGCAAGAGTGGATAAGTCACCAGTGCCTACAGCAACTATGTAGCCTAATGTGGAAATACAGTCAGCATCATACTTCCAGTTTCTGATAATGATCAGACATCTGATAGTACAAAATATATTTTGAAAATTATTTCAAACCAAACACCCAGTTGGTTTAAAGGCTTTCTCTTCTTTAATTCTTGCCCTCATGGCACATGGTTTTAAAAATGGAAAAGAAAAATTTGGTAAATTTGGTAAGGCTTTTTATATGTGACATTCACAGCAGGCTCAGATTTCGACACTATTAAGAAGTTGTTGGCTGCAGCCCTGGGTTGCAGGATTATAATCATTTCTGCTTTTAAAAATGGGAAATGAAGAACCCAGGGAATTACAGAGTACTCAGCCTAACTTCAATACTGAGAAAGATAATGAGACAAATTCTTGAGAAGTAAATTCATACACACCATGAGAATAAGGTGATAAGAAGCATCCAACGTGAATTTGTCAAACTAATCTAATTTCCTTCTTGAATAAGGCAACTGGTCCAATAGATAAGGAAAAGTATTAGAAATGACTGTAGGTTGACCCAAGAAGTATCTTGACCCAAGAAAGGCTTTTGACACTGTCCTGTATGCACATAAATGAACTGGGGAAAGCTGTTGCATTTGAAATCACATTCTAATTCAATCCACTGTTAAAAGTAAACCTAATACCTGATTGTGGGTAGCTGCACTAGGAGGACATTGAAGGCGTCTTGCACAGCTCCTGACAGATAGGCTTCTGTTCAATGTTTCAATAACAGCTTAGATGACAGAATTAGAAATAATTATATACTAAGCCTGGTAGGTGGCACCATGTAAAGATCTGCAAAATGTGCTCAAGGACAGAATTAGTATTAAAAAATGTCTTGAGAGGTTCTGAAGTCCAACATTAAAAATCTGAATAAAGACAATTGCGCAGGACTACATTTGGGAGGATGAAATCAGGAGCATAACCACAGAATGGCACTGCAGATAAAGATCTAATGATTAATGAGGGCCATGAATGAGTCAACAGTGTGATGCTGTTCAGGAAAAGAGATAAATGTAATTCTAGATTCTCTTGAATTGTCTGCTTGAAACAGTATATGAACAGTATATGTAAGATGAGATAATTAGCATGTTCTTCTTGGCAATGGTAAGGCCTCAGCTAAAATTGTGTTTTACTCTGAGGTACCATAATTTAAGAAATATGTAGATCAGCTGGAAGCAATCCAGAGATCAACTAGGATGAAATTTGGAAAATTGGATCCATAAAGAAGGTTGCAATTTTTAGTTTTGTTTTAATCTAAAAAAAAAAAAAAGGTTACGTGGGGTTCAACAGTCTTTGAGTACATAAAAGGCTAATATAAAGAGAGTATTTCTATGTTTTTTTCATGCCCACTAATGATATGGGCAGAATGTAAAGGAAATCTTTTGTAGGTGTACCATAATAGGTATTACAGTAACATATTCTAACTAGAAGAAAAGATTATTGCTGGAATATATTACCCAAGAAGGTTGTATAATCTGTCATTATTGTTTTTAGATACAAATCAGAAGGACTACCATCCACAAAACAACTACGTTCTTTCTTCAAGGTTAGGAGATGGACCAGATGAATGCATTAGGTGGCTGAAATCCCTGAAACTGTAACAAAGTGTACAAGTTATTACAAGGTAATCCATAAAAGGTTTTTGCTAAGAAAGCATTTGAAAATACCGTGGGTGGTTCTGGGCATATTCGTTTGCTGTTACGGAATATTGCACAGGTTGTTCTCTGGTCTTTTTAAAACCAAATTAAACACGTTTGTTTCCTTTGATTTTATGTTGTGGGATATTTGGTTTATTTTTATTTTACCCCAGGAAGGCTAGGTACAGCTTTGATTAAAAATATTGAGGAATAGCAGACTACATAGACCCTTGAGATTTCACTGAAGTCTGCATTTTTATGATTCATATACAATCTGCAGTATTTTTTCTGACCTGTTGAAGAGCTTTGTAAGCAGAAGTTAATTATTAAACTAGTTCGTTTCCCAGGGCAGAAATGACCTAATTATTTATGATAGTGCTCAAATGAGGAATTAAACAAACATATCCAGAATAAACAGAGATCAAATAATCTTTGCCAATGGAAAAGTACAAAATCTTGTTTTCAGGCCAGTGAGTGTGCAATACAACAGCACAGATCCAGACCTCAGCAAAACTAACAAGTCAGGATTTCTCAATCTGTGAGAAATTCTGTATTTTTATGATTAATTCAAAATTTTAGAATGTTTGTCTAATGTACAAAATTTTAAAAATGGGAATGAGAAAAAAATGAGATTATTTTGGAAAAGTTTGAAACTTTTGAGGACTTGAATTACAACTGAACATTTCAACATTCAAAACCCAAAATGTTGTAGTCAAGGTTTACCACATATATATGTCTGAATTAGGGGAGCACAGAACTCTATTATACACAAGAAAATGCCAATCAAAATTACTGTGCAAATAAAGTAGCATTCTGCAAAATAATATTTTTTGTGTTAACTCAAAATAAACCTCTTTATAATCACACTCCCAAGAGAAAACTGAGCAAAGCTATTTATTTTTCCCTTTTTTTTTTTTTTTTATTATTTAAAACTAAGTTCTTCAGAAAATAAGCTCTTTGTTAGAAATTCAAATCCATATCAAACTTTTGACAAATTCTAGTCACTACTCACTATAAAAAATAGCTGGCTCAAAAATGTTTTCTAGAGAAATCTGTGCTCATCACAGTGGACTGTGGTGTTGACCAAAATATGACTGTAAACACTGGAAGTGTTTGCAGTCACCATTGTTATTGTAATCTAATGGAAGATGATCATAAGACTCAAAGATAGGATCATTATAAGATTATGGCTTTCCAAAAATTCAGAAATATTTACGTTTGGTGTTAATTGATAAACCATGCTTCAGTCAATATCCACTGGTCCTTTTGTTCTTTTAAAAACATGCGTGTTTTTAATGATTTCAGAATAATGATTTCATACTGCATGAGAACTTTTTCTCTTATAACCAAACACTGGAGCTTGTGAATTTTGCTGTGCAAATGGATAGATACTGACTTAACAAATCTGGCTAGCTTCAGGTATACCATTACACATCCCAACCCTTGGATGAACAGCAGTAAAAAACCTGCAGAATTTCAAAGATCCCGGGACAAATCTATCAGGTGTCAAGGACAGCCTTAATACTAAAGCCCAAAGGGACAATTAGACAATGGGAGTTGGAATAGATGGCCTTTAGAAGTTTCTTCCAATCCAGGCTCTTCTATGATTCTATGACCCAAGAGAAGAAAACTCAGCTCAGCTGACCTTGCTTAGAGCAGCCCCAGTGAGGAAATTTTGTTACTGGGACCTGTAAATCCAAAGGTGGACTGTTTGGTTTGCAGGCCAGAACAGGTTTGCAGGGGCTGCATACAGCCCCATTGCACACTCCAACAGCCTAAAGTGTCTTAAGCAGCTTAAGTAGCTTTAAGCAGCTTTGAAGACTTAGATACTTTAAGCTTATAAAGCAGTTTAAGCTGCTTAAATCGCTCTAGGACTTCAACAAGGGCCCCATGATGCTGCTCCTCGCCAAGCGAGTGAAACAAAGGTGCCTGCAGCTCCCTCACCATTGGCTGGAGGGATGGAGATACAGGGCTGACACAGATCCAGCCAGAAATCTGCTGATATTGATATATTTTGTCAATGATGATGTATAAAATAATGTAACATATTTTTTCTCCCCGTGGTTAACTCAATGTTTCTTTCTCTTTTGTAGCTGCCTCCCTTTCCCAGCCACCTCTGTCCCTTTTTTTCTATTTTTGCCCATTTAGCTCAGGCTCTTTCAGTATCTCTTTCGTCTCTAATTAATTTTTCCTAAAGAGATCAGTGGACTGCTCTTGCTGCAGTGATACACTTTTATGAAGAAAACATGTCTTGATTCAGCCTCTGTGTTCAACCCACAGAACCGTGCTGGGGGTAACTGTTCCTTTGTATCACTATGGTTTAACCTAAATCTAGAACTTTTTTCTCAGAAGAAGGGCATGAGTTGATGGAAGCATTGTGAAAAAAACCAACTGTGTAATCCCAGGAAGTACTGGTGGCAGCTATTAGGTGATCACCTACAAAAGCAGGTAACCAGATGGAATAGCAGAAGGAGGAATATAGTACATTGAATCTGAGTTGTATTTTGGAGGTTTCAGTAAGGATGTAGGAGGAGAAAGTCTGTGGATAGCTGTCCAGAAAAATGGGTAAATGTATCTTCCTACACTGATAATCTCTTAGGGCTGAAAGGACTTTGTGTTCAGTTTTTACTCCATCTGTCTGAATTTGGGGTATGCTGCACAAACCACAAGTCATCCTGTTCTTACTAAAGGATATAACACCCCTTCCCACTTACACACAAGACAGTGAGTGTCTGTTTGGTTTAGTGACAATTCATTTTGAACTGCCACATTAATAACTAGGACAGTGGTGATGATGTACTGGAGCACCTGAGCTGGATGTGGTGTTTTTAGTGCTGAGGATTCACTCAGGCCTACATCATCCCACTTTTCTCATATTTGAATTCCTTTTCCAGTTCCTTTAGAAGGAACATTTTCCTCTTCTCTTTCTCCTCTTCTCCTCACCCATTTCCTGGGGTTATATCTTAACTTCTCAGGTGTTCTCTCTCCATAGTCCTCACTTTAACTGGGTCTGCATTTTTCACAGGCTTATGGAGTCCATCACGTGTGACTTTGTATATATCACATGAACTAATCACAATTTAGCTATGAAATGTAATGATAAAGCTTATCATACTCGAACAGTGTGTTCTAAAGACTTGAGGTTGTAAGCGGGAAGAGGGATAATGGTCATCCTTACTCACTGATCTATTTTTTGCTGATTATCTATGTTACACATTCCCAAATGATGTTGCATATCACCATAGTGTGTATTGAATGCACACCACGTCCAGTGGGACATATTTACAAGCAGCATTGAACACTTTTGTTGAGGCTTGATTTATACCAAATGCAATTTTTTTCCAGTAGCCTGAAAGCATGTTTGCCTCAATTTCTATTAAAGAAAATGATTTCTAGCATGATCTATTCTTTTCAAGTCATCAATGCCTTTTAATCCCTTTTCCTGTTTATCCAGCTATTAATTATTACTTCCTTCAAAATGTATCATAATACCCTACATATCATGCCAATAGGATTCACTAGATTGTGAGTGATTAAATTATTTACTTCTTAAATATTGGTTTGATATGGTCCCATCAGGGGACACCACTGGTAGTTAACAGATATATTTGTAGTGGAATACTTGGAGCTCAGTATCCTTGGGTTCATACCTTGTGTCTATATCATCCTCCCAGTAGTCCCAGCTCCTTCTAATGCTTCAGTCAGTTTTGTAGGAGAAAGGGCAGGTTGTTTGGGCTGCCTGTGGGCTTTGTGATCAGTGGGAGAATGTTAGCTGTTTGGTGCCTGTACAGCTCTGAGGCTGTAGAAGATGAACTGCACCTGCCATTCCCTCAGGTCCAACAGTGACTTGGGTCTCATTCTCCTCCAAGAAGCTGCTCATTTGCATCAATGATTAATGAAGGGAATTAATAAGGTTAATCAAAGTTAATTATAAGCATGGAAAAGTAATCTTTTTCAATTCTGAAAAGCTATATGTGGTCACCTATTCATAACTTACGCATTTTCTTTGAACTATTTTTTATTACATCTGAGAACAAAAAGGTCCCATTCATGTTACAAGAGAGTTTGGGTAGTTTCAGATCTGATGGGTTATTTAAAAAAAATTGTAAACCAGAAAACATACAACACCAGGCATCAGGTGATGTATACAGGCCACAGTTTGGCAGCCATTTATGCTTATGCCCAAATTTCAGTTGGAACTTCATTTCCTTAGGCTTCTAGAAAACTTCAGTGTACGTTAAAATTAGCTCTGCTGATTTGAGGTGATAGCAGTCCTGCATGTTTGTATGCCTTGATAAACAACTGCATGTGTGCCAAAAGTACTTTATTGACTGTGTTGAGCCTGGTGAAGTCACACATTTGTGCTGATCCATTCACCACTGGAGACAGATATTTTTCAGCACTGCTGGACTAAATCACCAAGTGCTGGCTGGTTGCTGGGGTCATGTTGCTGGGCAGATCATCAGGTGTTGGCCAGTCACTGAGGGGTGCTCACACAGTACAAACGTACAGGACAGCAGACTCACCCTTCCTTCCTTCCTTCCCCAAACTCATGACAACTGTCTCCTTGATGCGTCTGCAGGGTTACAGCTGACCTTGCTACAGGACAGCATGGGGCTTCACAAGCCAAATTGTCACTTTTTCTCATCCCTCCATCTCCTTCAGCATTGTCCTTCCAAACCTCTGACATTCCCACCATTGTTTAATTCATTTTTTTTAACAATCTTGTTTAGCTGAAATAGAGTGATAGCTTATTTCAACTTCAAAAAATAACTTTCCTTTACCTTTGTTCCTAGTTACTTTTTTTCTCTTTTTCTTTTTTTCCAGCTTTGGTGGCTAGCTTCTTTGGCTAAGGGATTACACAGTGAACTGCCTGAATCTGTTATATGTCTGTGAATACTGTTTCCCCAAGACTGCAACACCAGCCCAATTCTTTGCTCTGCTGGAAGTCATCCTAAGAGGTGGGTAGCGTTTAAGATTTTAGGAAGAAAGCCAGAGTTTGCCCTCTACCAATATTAATTTCATGCATTCCCCCTTGCATTCTTGATTCTGTAATTGGGCTGTGCTTCCATCTCCACCCATATCCTGCCTTGACACACATCCATGTGCGGATGACAGGGGCAATGATGGGTGAGCCAGCCAGCTTGCAGGCTGAGTCACCCCAGGAAGGCAGGCAATTAGGATGGAAAAGGAAGTGTGCCAACAAAACAGGTGATCTGAGCAATGCACTGCACCCCACATGCCAAAACAGATATTGCACAATATTGGCAGTGACAGAGAAATGTGGAGAAGAATACAAACACATACTTCCAAAATGGCCTTCATAGTAGGAATTAAACAATATCAAAGCTGAGCCTGTTTCTTTTCATGGGCAATTTTAATACCAAAGATGAATATAATAATCAAGAAATGGATAGAGCAGTGGTGTAGTATAGCCCTCTTAGCATATGTGGTCACTTTTATATGGGTGTCTTTTCCCGTGCGTGGAGACTCGAAAGGATCACTCGAAAGGATCACAAACACAATTTATGAGTACAGAACAATTATGCTGTTTGTTGGATTGTACACACAATAAATGGCTGGGAGTAATGTGCTATTAGCTTTGGCACTAATGCCCTCACTTCCTCTGATGCACGTAACCACTGGGTTTCTGCTGGTCAGGCAGATGGTAATCACATGGGGAAGTGCCAGACTCCATTGCTCCTTGAGATAGAACGGTCCTCAGTTTTGCTGAGTTGCTATTTTCTATTTGATTTTTTTTTTCTCAGGGTTTTAGAGCCTTTTCAGTTGTTAGTTTTTGCTTCAGTTCTTGAGTGATTGCTACAGGCTCAACAATTTCACTTGTGTCCTTGTTTCAGCTTTTTTAATATATCTTTCTTGGTTTAAGTTTATACGCTATCACTCATAGGTTAGCAACCTTTTTTTAGTAAAGCAGAGCTGGGGTCATACAGCCTACCTAGGCCTTGTGTTAAAATAGTAAGACTGTGAAAGCTTTACCAAAATGGTGGGAGACAGACTGATCTGTGCTTGTTGTTCAGTGTATTTTTAAGCACTTTGCTGGCTTAAACATATGAGTCTTGCCAGATGGCAAAAAGACTCAGAAATAGATACTAACATGAACACCACACAGGGTCAGATGTGCTATATAACTGATGGTATCAGTGATGGTCTATATAATGCCAAACAGAATAGTCTGGTAAGGATGGACTTCAAAGGCAAAATTACTTAGAAATCAGTGATATGAAGCTGAAAACAAAAGAGTGCTGCATGATATTCTCACTTTGACCATGTTCAGATTTATAAGAAGAAAAAGTTACTGTGAGGATAATTAATCATTGGCACAGGTTGCTCAGAGAGCTTTGGCACTCTCCATCCTTGGAGGTTTTCCAGATGTGACTGGATAAAACCCTGAGCAGCTTGGTCCAAGCTAAGCATTGACCCTGCAAGGGGACAGGTGAACATACCAGGGACCTTCTGAATTCCCTTTCAGGTCAGGTCACTCAGTGATTCTACGAGTTAAGTTACTGTTGTAGTCAAGGGTAGATGAGGTGGAGAAATCGTATCACGAAGGTAAAATGCTCATTACGACATTTCCCAGTGTGTCCAAGCAAAATTAGGCTGCTACCATCTATGTAAGGTGATCCTGTCTCTCTCCAGTTCCTGTCCTGGTGTTCCTAGTTTCTCTCTTGAGCTAGCGCTGGCCCTTGTCCAGCATCACTGCGAGCTGTTTCAGCTCACCAACCTGACAAAAGCTGATTAGTTTTTTTTAAACTGGTTGGCTTTCTGCTGATTTAGTTAGCTGAACTACTTCAATAAGAGACAGATGAGCACCACAGCATGAGGAGGAGGTGGGAACATGTGGTTAAGATTGGAAAGAGTTAAGGGTGGGCAGGGCTCTCTCAGTGGGAGCGAGCCATTACATTTGCCTTATTGCTTCATGAAAACAACGTGATCTATCTGCAGCAGCTTTAATACAGGCAGAACAGCAAATTGGGTAAGCCCAGAAAGGATGAATCATAAAGAAAATAAAACCTCAAAAATAAAAATTCTATAATGCTAAGGCTGATGAAAAGTGTGGAATTACAGAAAGGAACATGAGAGCAAAAAGTCACTGACTAATAATGTCCAAGGAAAGATGAACAGAGATGTATCAAATGCCTAACACTTGAAACTGAAACTTCTGCCATGGTAGGAAACCACAGATCTTGTTTACCAAGTTACAAAAATCCTGTGTGGGTAGTTCAAACAGGAAATGGGCTGATCAAAAGCAAAGATAGGGAAATATGTACAACAGAGATACTACAGATAATCAAAGCATTTTAAAGAAGTTGGCAGCAAAAAGTTAGCCCTACTTTGACATGAGATTCTGTGACATGAGATGATCTGACCTCATAAGAGATTGCCGTTGGTGCAGCGGTGATATCAGAAAACCAAGCTGCAGTCCAGTAGGTAGCAGCAACAATACAGTGAGAGACATTTTTATTGTGGTAGAAATGCTAAGAGCCCATGATGTCACTGCAGAAGTGAAATTTTAGAAGTTGAAAAGAAAACCTGGGAAAACCCCCAAATTTTGATGAGGGGAAACACAGAGTTGTTAAAATACTAAAATGTGAGACTGGGAAAATGTCTCTCTGCCCTACACGATGGGGGAGGTAATTTGCAGTGGAAGATGCAAATTGCACACAAGATGACAGAGATGATGGATGCAGAATTGGAGGAGAACAGCCTTGGGACTCAGGCCAGAAAACAGGATATTCATACAAAAAAGCATCCTGAAAGAACATGTGCAATGACACAATGACATGCTTTGCTCATCACCAGCTTCACTGATTTTTTTTTTTTTTTTTAAGGTTACTTGACATCAGCCTCAGGAATGCCGTGTGGAACTTCAGCACTCAGCTCTTACTCCATCATCACAACCTTGCAGAGGGGGGTGGATGGCTGCATCTGGGAGTCCATCTAAGTAAGAGACTGGTTCACTTTGAACACTGGTGTGGAACCAGGGTACATTTGCCTTCTGGGGCTGTTTAGCATTATCCCACACAGCTACTGTGTAGGCAGCACAAGTAGCAGCATACTGTGGGGTGGATTGCACGTATCTTGGAGGTGTGCACTGTGTTACTGAACCATAGATCTGAAAAAAACCTGTGAAGATACATAACCTAACAAAAAACTAAGCCAAACAGGATTCAAAATAAGCTACCAAAGCAAACATCCCTGAACGCTTAATGCCAAAAATTGAACTCATGTTAGAAATTGCAAATTCTGGGGAAGTAGAGTATCTTGCTTGTTCTATCTATATCCCAGTTCCAAGTAATTAGGAAGGAACTGACAGAAAGAATAGGAGAGTCTTCCACCACTCATACTCATTTCAGCATATGGAAATTCAAGATATTCAGTTCCAGAATGAAAACAAGATTTTAAAAAATTATTATTTACATGTAATTACAAAGCTAAAATAGACCCTGAAAAATACAGACATCAAAGATGCTAGAAAACTAGATGCCTTGAAAAAAAAACAAAAACAAAAGTCTGACTACTGTTCTCTGTCTCAGCAGAGTTGAACAGCCCACCACCTCATCTTTCACCAGAGTCAGCAGGGAGCACAGGATGTAATTGTTGTGCATTCTCTGGATGGCAGTCCCCAAGAATTCCCCTCCAAGATGATCCAGTGGAGACCAATGTGCGTGAGGAAGAGAATACTTACTAGATCTTAGGAAGACCTACCTGATAGGAATGATGGTGATCACTTTCAACTGTGCCCACTAGAAACAAGAACAAATGATGGAAAGGAATGGAAGACACAAGCTTCCACAGTAAGAATAATGCAAGGGCTACTAAGAGGAGCCAGTATGTTCTCCATAATTGCTTTTTTTTCCTCTGTGGAGCAAGACTTGCATTGGCTAGCTTGTTTTATGAGCTGCCATTGGAGGTAATAGTTGTAAACCTTACCAAAAGGGAGGAAAATAATGCTCTTGCTCCAGAGGTGCAAAAAGTAGCTCATGTCCAGGCTAAAGCACTGCACCAAATGCTTCAAGGAGCCAGGGACCTGTTGCCAAGGCACTGTTGCCATGTAATGACAGACTAGGGAAAAACCATCCATGCCAAGAAGAGTTGGCAGGTGTGGGACTCAGGTAGACATACGACAGTGGCAATTACATGATTTCTGATTAAAGGGGCTTTGCCTTTCATGTATCTTCAAAAGTATCTGGAGCTCAATTTTGTTGTAAGTAACGATTGTTAATTTTCATTACCTAGACTGAACGAGAGATCTTTAATCAAACTGTGTTGTACTGGAGACACTTCTGCTGTTTAACCATAAATATTTGGGTGTGCAGTATGGTGTTGATCTGCAAGGTTACTAATATCTACAAAATAAGTAGTCCTTTTTTATTTGCATCATCTACCAAGTTGTTTCAGCTTCACCTTATTAAGCTTGAGCTTAGATCTGAGTGTGCTTTTTGAGGTGATGCCCTTGATAAGAGGGCACACAGACTCCTGTTACCTTGAATATATTCAGGATATATTGTTTCTACTACAGTTCCCAGACATTTTCTTAGCCAAGTTTTAACACAAGCCCACTAAATCTATGCTTCTTTAAAAAAGTAAATCTCTACAATCTGTTCTCAGCCTTCTTTTACTTTTCTCATAATATCAGGCCCACACATAGCCCAGATTCCTCAATGGTAGCTGCTGAAATTTTTCCACCTTCTGGTGCTATATATATTCCTATGTCCTGAGCAGCAGCCTGTGTCTGTGTTTTGAGTACAGACTGCTGTTATTTTAGATATCTGCCTCCATAAAGGAGCATCACTGTTTCTTATGTGTCTTCATAATGAGATTTTTTTCACTATTTTCACAGAGGTTTAACCTCATTTCGAAAACGAGGTTGTTCTTTTTCTCCAAGTTAAATAACTGTAACTGTAACAATCTATCCATGTATCTATACATATATACATCCATGCATGCATATATATATGTATATATATATATGTATGTAACGTTGGGAGCCTACTAGGGCACATATGTATTTCTATGTACATAGCAGTTGAAGTAAAAAGCCTTATTCACAGGAGGGGCTCTTAAATATGCGTCTTCTTATTAAGCACCTACTGAAGATAAGCTTCGTGTGCATGTCCACACTTTTCTGAATGGGGGTGCATCAAAGAACAGGCTTATTTTCTGGAATCGGAAGCCTTGACTGAAATGTCACTGCCTGGATCACTTGCTGCTTGCAAGGCTGACAGCAGCAAGGGGATATAAAGCATAGCTCACACCAGCCTCACCAGGAATACAAGGGCACATTGTATGTAATCATACAACATGTTGTTCCGTGGGTGAGATCATGTGTTCAAGTATCCTGCCTTCATGCAGTGGAAGCATCAAGCTGAAGGTCATGGGTCCCAGAACACAGCTGTGATGAAGCAAATCTACATTGTGACATTCAGTTTTGTTATATAATTAGAGCATTCAATTATAGACTGGAAGACATACTTAGACTGTATTAGAATATTCTCTGATGTAAATGAGGTTGGGTTAATTCCCTAACAGGCCGGGCAGTGACAAGAGGTGGAGATAAGCTCCCAGCACTAACTCAGGACAAAATTAGGCAAGTGGCATGCTTGCCTGCCCTGCCCTGCCTCCTCCCACACCCTGGTCCTGCAGCCACAACCGCCAGCTCCACACTGAGACCCCCCACCACAGAGAACAACTGGGCGACACACACCTTTTGTTGTAATCTGCTAACAAATGATTTCTGCTTCAGATTCCAGCTGCAGCTCTGCTCTTGCACAGGCTATCGGTTGGGTGGAGCAGCTGCAAACCTTAGCAACATCTAAGACTCTTCAACAATTTCAGTAGTTTTCTTGGAGTAATATTGGATTAATTTAACCTCTGAAAACAATAACTTTTGATACGAGACCTTGTCTCTCTAGGCTGATCTGGCAGGTTCAGCTGTAGCTTACATAAGCTGGAACATCAAGGCTTGTTTCGAAGAGAGAGGGAATGTGAGCCAAGATGCAAATATGGGCCCCTATTTTCTTTTGAAAAATATTAATAGCTTTTCCTTTTCCTCTTAGGCAGCATTAAACCACTCCTCTAAATGAGCAAAGGGTCCTTTATATTTTGTAGATATTTGAGGAAATTACCATGGCATTATTTTTCCATAAGTCACTTTCAAAATATTATAGATACCACACTGAGATGGAAAGAGTATGTGACCAGAGTGCACAGCCTAAAAATGAACTCAGATTAAATGCAAGAGCAACAGGCACAATGTCCAAAACAGATAAATCAGGGTGACTGCATAGTTGTATTCTTGTTTTTCCACTGTACTAACTCACAGAGCACAAAATAAACCTGTGTAGCAAAGACATGAAAAAAGACACACTGGAAGAAATATTTCTGTTGTATTAGCATATTCTCTGCTCTAAATGAGTTTGAGCTAATTACTTATTAGACCACAATGGGATAAGCAGGAGAGATAAGCTCCTAATATCACATTATGAAAAATTAATTAAAACAGAATAAACATAATTTATTTGAATCTGCTATTTCCTGTTTCAATTGCTTTACTTAGCAATCTCAGTAATGTTCTTTAACAAATTCTTTATTTATTTTCTTATACAGAAAAAAAGATAGAAAAACGAAAACAAGCTGGAAAGACATGAATTTTATCACGGTACCCCATTTTCCTTGGCAGACTAACAACTGCAGTATCAGCACAGATTTCTGCTACTTGAGCTAATAGAGTGCCACTACCAGCCACGGGTTGTCATCCTCTGAGTAAAGAACTTCCAGAAGAGGATTGCTGATGGGCACTGGTGAGAAACACAAACTGAGGTTCTGCTTGTTGGCTGGGGTGACAAGTAATCAGATGGATTCCAGATATAAGGTAACCCACTGTGACTCCTCCAGCCTCTTGTCATCCTTATCCTTTGCTTTCCCCACTTCATCCTGGGACTCCACCTTCTCCTATAGGTGAAAGTCCATTAGATCCAGCTCCTGATCTCCCACATCTCCCAGTCTGGTTAGCTGTTTGCTCATTCCCCAGTATGACCCTCTTTGCTTCCAATCTACCTAGCTGGACCATCCTAACTCCCCAATTCCTCCTCCTGACCCCACTCCTCATCTAGCATAGGTTTGGGATCCAGTATATCTTCCTGAGAATTTCTTCACAGTGCATTTGAACAACTGTCTTCTGCACTCTTGATTTGGACATCTAGGATCAGAGGAAGACATCTAGATCAGAGGAAGGAAGACCCCTGCTTTCCCTTTGGTTGCCTAGACCTCTTACAGCTTATAGTAGCAGATGCCCATCCATAGCAAATGAGACCTTTTAGGAAAGTTCGCTGTTGAAACCAAAGTCATGCACCATGAGTTTTCATACACTTATTTAATGAGGATAAAACCAACATGTCATTGACACAAAAGCTGTCTTCTATCAGATTTTAAGTCCTTGCACCAAACATGCAAGATTTATCTTTTGTCATGAGACCAGATGACACCAGAATTTTTAACCGCAGCACATTTTCCCCTACAGCCTGACAGACACGTCAGACATGTCTGAGTTGTTTTACGCTTGTTTTCCTTGAGAATGTGTGTCAAGTAAAAAGTCCTGAACTATACAATTTCATATTGTTTAGACAGGACAATGACATTAATAAATTTAATCTCAGAAAAAGCATTCTGATATCTTTAGTGGCCACTATGCAGACTTTCATTCCTTAGAGAAGATAAGGCATGTCCTTGCAAACAAGAAAAATTAGATCCTGTTGTGCCAAGGCCTACCCTCTAAGTAGTTCAAGGTGATCAGTGTACAGTTCAGATTATTACATAAAACAATTTGCAAAGATTTGCAAAAATTAAACAGAAAATGACAGCTTTTTCAAGAAAACAAGACACAGTGATAAGCCCCAAGGACTATGCTGAAATCGTGTCCAGTAAAGAAGAAAAATATGAGACTAGACTCAGTGGGACTGTGGCAGAGTAGCAGAGAGAAGACTCTCAGTCTTCATCCATAGGATGACACTCTTCCTATAGATTACTGTACTTAGATTTATTGCTAATACAGTACCTAAATACTGCCAATGCAGTGTATAATATGATCAGATCTAAAGGGTTATAACATAACCAGGTTCAACTGGAAATGTGCAGGTTTAGAGCCTCTGACCTTGCAGAAAGCACAATTACAAAGCAGCAAAGCACCTATGGAGCTGCTTTAGGATTCTATCTCTATATATGGTTGGATCTTAGTGCTTTTACTCAACTCATCCAAAAGTGAGTGTTCCCATCTTAGGGCTGGATGTACCCTGCAGGCATCCCTACTAGGGTGGGATCCATCTGGAAGCTGCCTGTAGCCTTGGGAGATCTACTGGCCTGGTCTCCAGCTACATTTTATACCCTTTTGCAGGGCAATCTGTAAAAAAGTCAGTCACAATCATCACAGCTCCCCCATCTCTGGAATGCATTAATTACGTGAGCATCCAGACAGCTCCTCCTGCAATTCCCACCTTAGGACAAACCACATTACCTACCAGAGACTGCAAGGGAGAGGGGGTGTGTGAGGGCAGGACACGCTTCAAGACCCAACTATCTTTCTTTGCTGTCACAGGGACAAAATAGATATACTGTAGAGTAAGCCTCATAAACGAGCTAAATCGTGAGTGGATGGGCTATTCTGCCTCTCTGGTGCCCCTAATCTTGTGCTGCAAGGATGCTTAATTGACCCAAGCTGCAGAAAGATAGATAGGCAGCAGAAGTGCAGCAGCTTGGTTTGTGTTTTTCCTTCCCTCCCTCATTCTTTCTTTTTTCATCTGTGTTTGCCTTTGTTTTCTGTTTAAGAAAAACCTGCTTGAGATATTAAACTGTCCTTTGGAGAGCTGCCGAGACACTGTTAATAAACAGCGTCCAAAAAGCTGTGTTAGAGACAGCAGGACGTTGCTGCAGTTTCCATGTGTCCATGTGACCAACAGACAATATGCTGTCCTGGAATTCTTCTAGCAATGAATTTGCTATTCAGTGCCAACACCAGAGTGAGAGGCTGAGTTCCCTTCCCCTGCAGCTCTTGTGCCCATACTGCCTGCCTCTCCAGGGAAGGACTGGACTCTAACAACAGCTCTGGCAGAAGTTCCAGCCCATCTCAGAGAGCTGAATAACTCTCTTTTATGAAATAAAAACCCCAATACTTTTTGTTTCTTACTATGTCTTTAAGCCTATTAAACAATGGTGGTTTGCTCACATAGACTTTTAACAGGAAAACAAAATTGGATTTTTTTAAAAAAATGAAAGCCTTATTTTTCTTAATTCTGAATATTTTTATTCTTTTTCCTCCCCTTATTTTTTTTTAATCTTTAATAAAGGGTTTAAAAGATTTGGTGTGGCTTATGTTGCCACAGGAATAAACAAGCATTTGAAACCCCGAACTCTATCCAAAACCTGTTTAGCAATATAGTTTTATTACAGTGCCGCAGTACCTTTAATTCATTTGACCTCTGGGTCTGTTTATTTTACTGAAATTTGACTCAGCAAAGCTAAATCCCCGTATATCATTCTGCAAGACAATTCATTTTATGTTTGGATACAAACAACCAAAGCTGCACAATCAACTATCCACTAACTTGCCAGTTTGCACTAGTGTGGCAGAATGGAAAAAGAAATTGTGGTGGCTTTATAGAAATGCACCTAATTTCTATGGGATAGTCAGTGAATATCAGAACAATAGATGTTGTATTAACTACTATGTCTGCTCTTTTTCCTTGTCATAGGTAATATTTTTATGGAAGGGGATGGCAGCCTACTCTCATTGTATTAAGCAAAATTCTTCAATGGATACCATGAATAATTTATTTATACATTTTTAAGCTTATTTTTACTTGCTCTTTAGGAAACTGTTCTGTAATAACAAGCTCTGGAACAAAATCTAAAAGACAGGGCATTTTTTGTGTTTGAAATGTCTCTCCATATGATTGCAAATAATAAAATTATGGAAATATCTTATTCTCCAGGTACTCTATATTGCCCAATGAGCATTGTTTACTCTTCCCTCTTGCTATATAGTTTTGTGTGCAGATTTCATTGTGTCTCTGTTTTATTTTTAATATTTATATGTATTTATTAACAAGCAAACCAGAGCAATCAGTTGTTTAAGGATGTGCTGGAGTGAACTACTACAGGCAAGTTATATTTATTTCCATGTTCAGGCTATGGAAGGCTAGCCAGGGATACCTCTTTGCACCTAAACATTTTAAGTCCATTGGAAAAGAATTACAGGTCGGTCAAATAAGGGGGGGTTTCTCTTTTTTTTTTTTTTTTTTTCCCCCTTTCATTCCCATTTTGTGTTAAGCATTAGAATCTGTTAAAAACAGCCCATTACCTTATGCCTTAAAGCAGTTGTTTCCCTGTTGCAGAGAAATCTGCTTGAAATGTGTGCTGCCTTTATGACCTCCAGGCTCTACCCTGGCCAAACAGATGGAGTGTTTCTACCTGGGCTGTCACTTTGTTTTCCTCTTCTCCCCACTGAGCTAAACCGTGCTCCCTGTGCAACCTGAGAGGAAGGACTTTTAACCCAACATAGGGCAACATCCTTGGCTGAGCAGGTTACAGAGAGAGCCCAAAAGCTCTGGGTATTCTTCAGTTCCAATGCACTGGCTCTTAGGGAACCCAAAGCATAGGTGCACATTTGCTTTGTTTCCTTCCACTGCCTGATTACAGTATTTCCAGCCTCTGCCAAGATGATGATGGGCACAGGACTGCAGCCTGAAGAGGGAAGGACTGAAATCCTGCTTTCACCAAGACCAGTGCATCCATGAGAGGTAATTGCTGGTTGCTTGTAATTCTGAATCACTCAAATTTCAGCAGCTTGAAACATCATTAACCGAGTTTCTTTTTTTCTTCTACCTTATTGAAATGGAAGAGACTCTTCTCCTTTATTTGAAATAGTGATTTTCTTCAACTCCCTCTATTTCCCCTAAAAGTCCTTAGGCATTTTTCTTAATATAACCCCGTGCCTCAGCTATGGTGCATCACAGGCAATCAAATAAGAAGAGTGTGGTATATCTGACATGACTCCTGCATGGCTCTGATCTGACATAATACCGTGATGCTGTTGGGATGTGATTGCTATATGGCAGTCAGCACACTGGTGGGAAATCTTAAAGGCTGCAACAGGAATGCAGCAACATTGCGAAGAAGGCAGTCCAGTGTGGCAAAATGTGAGTAAAGGAATGAAAAGACTGAAATGGAATATTAACAGTAAATACACTTGCTAAAAATTATTGGAGGGTGCAGGCTCCTACTGTCTGCAGGTTCTGGAAACACAGATACTGCTAACAGATGATTTTTCTTCTTTTTTTTTTTTTTTTGATAGAAAAGAATGAATGTAAGAAAAATTAGGTAGGAAAGTGAAAGAAAAACATTAACAAATGCACCTAAAACTGTCAAAGGTGTTGAACCTGGCATTGTTCCAGCGGCAAGAGCCGGAATCATTAACTTGAGCTATTTAGCATTCATATCTGGGCAAAACTGTAAAAAAATACAAAATGGAAAAATTCTGCACTGGCTTATTGAATAACTATAAATAATTTAAAGCAACTTCTGTCTTGTCTTTTACAAATCAGTGGACAACTGACTGTGCTGTTATACAGAAAATGGTGGAATTTTTTAAGCTAATGTACATTTTTTGACAATTCCTATTTTCTGACTATGCTGTTATGCAGTTTTATCATAGCTATCTCCCTTTATCAGAAAATGATGGGGTTTTTTAAATTAATGTACGTTTTTTGACCACTCCTATTTTGGTTGTTAAATTTCCTCAAGGGAAAAGGAGTTGTGTTCACTGCTTGATATTGGTACTATTCAGGTCTGGCTTTGCATTAATTCTTCCCAGTTTGTCACTCACCTGTGATTAATCAAGCAGAAACTAAGAAAAAAATTATTTATTTTGTAAAAGTGAACTAAGCTCTCAGTAACTGTGAAACAATGAGTAGGAACACTAGGACAGGCTGTCAGGAATTCCAGCTTGGTTTAGTTCTAGATACTTTGGTGGAGTTATACTGAGCCGCATTTGCTGATAATATGAATTTTAAGTATCCTTGCTATGTTTTTCATAATACTCTGTAAGAGCAATAACTTAGGAAAATTTTGTTTTGTTCAGTATCTGAAATGAAAATTATGTGTGTTGAAGGTATGAGCAAAATACACCAAGTTATTACTTGAGACCAAGAAGAAAATTGCTATATTCTCATTATTTTAATCTTTTACTGGATGACAATAATGGCAAATTAGAAATTACTTCTGAGTTCCAGCTTCATTTTAACATTTAGGATATCTGCCTGCTGTTTATTTTATATGACATCTAATTACAACAGTATGTGAGATATCTCAGTCTCAGTCTTTGAGGTCCCTCACAACAAGCCCATGGGACAAGAAAATGCAATTTCTGTGCAAATGCAAACAGAGCTACATACTTCCCTGGGAAAAATAGTGAGTATGTGATATATATATAGAGATATATATATAGAGAGAGAGATATGTATATTAAAGTCAATCCAGCTGTCTTTAATTCCAGAGTATGTCTCTGATGCATGAACCACAACCTTTGATCCTAGCTGAAATGTTGAATGATGCCTTCAAAAAAATACATTAAAATTCATTATACTGTAGATTACTAAAATATTCCTTTGGAATATGACTTTTTTGAATAGCGGTACAAGAACTAAATTAGATATTAGTTACATATTGCTCTCAGTTCCATAGAGTTGTGAAGAAAACATATCTGGAGTGCTGCATAGCACAACTTCATAACACTGCAGTTAGATTTTCCCTTGTATTTACAGACCGGTTTATTTTAAAATCTATTCAAGCATTGGAAAATCATAAATATGCAGCTCCACAGATCGGGAGATCAGGTTTCTGTGACTGTAATACATGGCTTCTTTTGACAAAGCTCTCCAATTTAAGGTCAAACTCTGCTTGCTTTACGATTTGATTTAGGATGGAAATATTTGTGTGAGTGAAGGAGTGTGTTTTGTCACAGTATTTTATGGCTGTACAGTGCTCACACTGCTCTAAGCATAAGCAAAAATATGTACTGAGGTTCTAAGCTAAGAGAGGCAGAATATGAAAGTGTTTGGTTGAAACGTTTCTAAAAGGTGTAACAGCACGTTAAAGGTTTTATAGGAAATACAACTAAAATATGCCTGATATACATTTGTTTTTCTCTCCTTACCAGAAACCCCAAAGGTTTGTACCAACACAGTTGAAGCCTCATTTTGACTCCTCTATTAATACTACAAATTTTAAATAAATCAAATCAGATACAAAAGCTGGTATCACTCTTAAGCCCTTCAATTTTGCCAGTGTGCCAGCATGCAGTATTTTGGATTATGTAAATGTCAAGTTCTACTGATTGCTATACCAGTGTAAAGGAGCAGGATGTAAAAGTTTTAGCATGTACACTTTCCTCTCAAATCTGTCAGAGGGACACAGAGAATGGACTGCCCCATCATGTAACAACCTAAATCAATAGACATCTATTAATTCATGTGAACCAGAGGCCTCTGATCTTACAGCCTAATCCTTCTTTAGCCCACTGTATTGAAGGAGTTGGTTGTAATACTTCAGGGTGTCTCCAGCAATGGCCACTTGGTTGAGATATTTTGAGAGAGAGGTGGCATGGAACCAACAACCACAGGTGTGCATGTCAGCTTCTAGTAATTAGAGGAATATTCATCACCTTATGCGCTCTTTTTTAGATAGTAAAATACTGTTTCTGATCATAGATGCTATTAAGAATCATCCCTTTATTTTAAATCAAGAGGAGAGTACGACTGAGAAGTTGAAAAGGGGCATCATCTTATCATCAATGCTCTGTAACTTCATTGTGAAGGGACAGGAGAGTTACCACTGGCATAGGCATTGACTTTTAAAGATTTTCTTTCCAACAGTTAACCAAAGAACAATAACCTCCTGCCCCATCAAAAAAACTGGAACACATAGAGTGTTATGTTCAGGTCATGACTGAACATTTGAGCAGCTAAAGTGGCACCATGTCATCACTGGCACACTGCCAAAAGAGTTGTATGTCACATCATAACCCCAGGAAAGAATTTCTGTACAGCTGGAAATTGCATGTTGAAAAGCAAAGGCAAAATGAAATTTTCCTGTCTCTCGTCCATCTTCCCCAGACACTAATCAAACACAAAGAGTTTGAAAAGGAAATGCTCTTAGATCTTCAGTATTTGCCTAGATCCATAAATGTCTTGAGGTAACCAAGAGTAAAATCTGTGGGGTTTAGATATTATCTATCCAGAGTTCCTATATATGTAATCTATTCCCTTTAATTTCATTATGATATAATACCCTAAGAATTAATACCATGAATAGTTTCATTGGCATATAATCCCCTAAGAATTAATACCAAAAATAGTGATGACAGAATGAAAAAAGGGAAGAAATGGAGAGAAGCTTGGAATATCTTATCTCTTAAGGCTTGAGGTTTAAATGAGTCATACTGCCATGCCTCCTATGGTAAAGAAGGCTTTCATAGCTGAGAGGCAAGGCAAGAGGCTTGAAATTTATGTGCAGCAGTCTTGATGTCTGTCCAGACATAGATAGATGGAGGGCTTGGAAGTGTTATTCCAAATAACACAGTCCTATGTCTGTCCACTGTGGTTTTACACAGGGTTGTGACTTGTTTATCCCTATTTCGTTGTCCCACCCTCTATTCAGGGCTGTTCAGAGAAGTTGCGTAATAAAACAGAAGAGTTGGTTCGGCTCCAGCTGGTCCTGGTGCCTCTTGTCCACTGTGGGGTTGGTTTAGTTGTGGGGACAACATTTGGGACACAACAAGAAAGATATAATAATAGCTCAGAGGCTTTTGAAGAGGTGAACATTTTATTTACTAACTAGTTGCTACTGCAAATAAAAATTCTGAGTACCCACAATAAGGTTAATTTTATCTTTTTGCCAGGAAATTTGTAGCGTGTTCCTTTGGCTCAAATACATAGACTATGTGCTTTCTAATAAGCTTTGATTCACTGAAAACCAACTCTGTTAAAGCAGCAACATATAAAACTAAAGAAACCCTTCTCATTTTCCCTGTATGTATAGTCAGAATCCTATCTCCAAACAACCTTAAAAAAAGTTTTCGATGCTACTTTTTCATTCTTCTTAGTTCAGCATAGCCAACAGTAAAGGCCTTGTTGACATTAGGCAAATATGCAATGATGCAGCAAAATCAATTTAGTCACACTGATGCAAATCCCTCACACAGATGTAATGCCTGTGTGCAAAGTAGGGCATTTCTGAGTATAGACAATATTTAAAATGAAGTGAAAGAGAGAGATTCTATTCTTCCCAACTGATGCCTTAATGTGATTCACATAGATAACCCTGAAATGCTAAGCTGAAAGAAAGGGACTTTCCAGTCAAAACTTAGGGTACATTAGGAGTACTGTTGATTGGGAAGGAATATCATGACCTTTAAATTGCAAATTGCAGTAGCTTAACAGATAGAGTAACACTTTAAAAAACACCCTTTACATTTAAATTGAGTATATTTGACCTTAAAATCACTAGGAAAAAATATGTCATTGCATAACTCCATTCTATGGTTCCTTTTCAGAACAGAAGTGAAAAAGAATGCACTTTTGGTCCTGGACTGTTCTTTGTAATTTAATGTGATCTGCTGTCAACAACAGGGAAAATAAACCTCTGACACTCAGTAAGAATAAGAAGAGGACAGAACGTACCTTACTGTGGGTATTCAGTCAAAGATCTGCTGGCCAAAAATGGTACAATTTGTGAAGGCGTAACTGAAAAACAGGTGGGGACAACAAGGGACGTGTCAGTAGGAATACTGGTAATCAGGTAATGAGCATAATGACCATCTTCCTTTGCAATCTGAAGAGGTTTGAAAAATTTTATTTTTCTCTTAAATTAAAAATGCTTCAGAAAACCATGAAGTTGAAGTAAAAGTTCTGGTAATTTGGTAGTTATCTTTTAGGTATTTTTTGGACAAAAAAAATTCTAGGTACTTAATGTTGCAGTATAGCCTTTATTTACCATAGTAATAAATGAAAGATCAAAATCCAAACAAATTATTTGTATTGAAAGCATACTTTTTAATCAAATCAGACTATGTCACAAAACTTTTCTTCACAAAGTATTTTAAAATTGGGGAAACTTTTTCCTAATCTAAATGGAAGCAAATCCTGAAACCCGGGAATCTCTTGTTAAAATCAAACTTTGATTTTCCTTGCAGCTAAAGTTTCACACTAGAGAAGTGAAAATATATCACCCAGGGCTTCCTTTCCATGTACATTCACCTACTACCATTGCTACTGATGCTGTCAGTGACTGTTAAAGCAATATTTTTTTCCTCTTCCATTCTCCCTCAAAAAGAAGTTTAGGAAGTCCCTCTTCTGGAATGAAGTCAGGACAGAATCTCATTCTGGTGGGCTGCAGTTTCCCAGTGGACCCAGTGACTTGAGATACACTGTTTTGTACATAAATTAAGAGGAGTTTGCAGTGCTTCATTTTGTTCTAACAATAGCACTGACGCTAACAAGAACTTGAATAAGAAACCCTCATAACGTAAAGAAACAGGGGCGAGGGAAGTGCTTTAGGCAGGTAGGGAGCTAAGCAATCAATTATTACTGGATTTCTAACCATGGGCAACACAACTATACCCCCTACTTTATAGTTCCTGAGATTACTGAGATTCATCAGCAGAAGCTGTGGTCCCCCCTGGATAATTCCTGAGTTCCTTGAAATGAGTCTAATACCCAATAAGGTTACTTGTGCTGCTGCAGAAAGATATTTCTGGCCTTTTACATGTCAGAAAAGAAACTGGATATGACAGTTTTGGAGCTGCCCTGTGATAATTTAGGAATATGGTCTGTTGGCCTGATTATTTGGTTGAATGTCTGGGTTTAACTCATCAGGGGTTAGCTTCCACCTGCACTCTTAAATTACCAGGGCTGGGCTGGGCGGTGCTTGCTACACTGGGATGTCCCACTTCCATTGTGGTTGCACAGTCAGTGAGCACAGGGAATTGGAAGGGCAGAGAGATTTAATTTTGAACCACAGGATCTCTGCAGTCCTAGCATCCTACTCATCCCTAGGAAAGACAAAGGATTCCAAAGATCCACTGGGGATCAGAGAGGGGACCTGTAACTGTTTGATAAAACAGTTGGATAGAGCACTGTGGGGATGGAGGAATGACACAACGACCTCAGGATCAATAAGTGCGTTCATTTATTGTCTATAAGCAGTCATTTTTATAAGGCACTTAATAAGCTCATACATATTGCAAAAGCCAAGCTCATGATTGGTTAATCTTTAAAACTTACATTTTTACATGTAAAAACTTACATTTTTACATGCTTACATTTGTGCATAGCTATGCCTACAATTTAACTCTTCTTCCCTATCTGCAGTACAGGGTCTTCCTTTTGATTCTTGTTCTACTACATGATCAAGGAGACAACTCCCAAAGAACATTCCATTTCTCAGTGACCCATTTCTCAGTGACCCTTATCTGCTAACCATTCTTGAGCTATGCTGCTCAGTGACACATCCTCCAGAGAGCACTGTTAGGGAACGTTAACTGGGATGTGTTTCTGTTTATCTATGTCATTTCCATGTGTTTGTGGAACTTTCTATGAAAGTGAAGGCTAACCCTAAAAAATACATTTTGGAAGAAAATGGGTTTGTGAATACCACAGTCATTTTCAGCAGTTTTTATCAAACACTGGGCATTCAGAACTGGCATGTTGCCTCACCCCTTGGGCAAGCTCCTTTTCCATAAAAGGGAACCTAATGGGGTGAACCCAGGGTTAATTTACAAAAGCTAGTGTCCTCTCTGAACATGAAACCAATGAAAAACTGTGCAGAGGTGATGTTATTCTATAGTTTACAGTGGAGACATGTTGGGTGGAGAACTGGAAATATTACATGGCAGCTGGCCCACTCCAGGGTGCTGGACCCAGCCTCATCTGTGTGAGCTTCCAGCTGAGACCAAGCTGGTCAAGTGAATCGCTTTTCAATTGCGAAAGAAGAGCACCAGAGGTTATTCGGCAGGTGCCCAAGAAATATTTTAGTTGGGTAAAGAGCATATATATTAGGACACAAAAAAGGTCCCTAACAAACCATTCCTCAATATGGAAGAAAAGGGTTTTTGTGTGTGTGTCTGTATATGTTGGGTGAGTGAAGTACAAAAACCAGAAAGTTGAAAATCCTAAGAAAATTACACAAATCAGGTTTCTTTCACTCTCTCCTGAGTGAGAGGACAAGCAAGTAGTTTACTATAGCTTTATGGGTTCTTGATTGTGGAGTTCCAAAAGGCAGCCTACAGGCCTGAGCCATATTCTGGATTAATTCCTAATTCAGTCATCAGAACTAGGGAAGCAGTATGTTCATTCACTGCTTATTCCAGGTGTTTGGGCATGTAAAGTTCTCCTATACTGTTGCTGGAAAGGCTAATATATTATATCTCCCTAACAGCGAACTCCTGATGCACTCATCTTTACTCCAGTGAACATCTTTTTTATGAATTTCACTCAACAGAAAACCCAAACATATATTAAGATACCCCTTTGTCAAAAGAAGCCAGACTAGTAAATGCTGTGTATTTTGGTACAGATCCTCCCAGTGACTGCTTTATGTTGCCGGTAGTAGAGTCTGGCCAAAAAGCTGCTACATTTACCTCTTGGATGACTATAGTGGCAAAAGCATTTTTTAATGATACGCATGGAATGCTGAGTCTCCTCGCCACTTCCTTCACTGTTGCCACATAAAGGTTAAACTGAGCTGTCCAGATCAAACAGCAAAGCTCCATGGCTTTATTTTGGTCTAAAAAAAACTTTGGGAAGAGACTATTTAGTGTCACATTGCTGTTTCAGGAGGAGGAAACGTGCATGCTGATGTTTAGGGTTTTGGGAAGGGTTGTATTCTGTAGGAGCTGAAGGACTGACTACTACAAAATCTAGAAATACAGACAAACTGAACCAGGGATGAAAGTAAGAAATCAGAGACAGGAAGTAAATTCTAAGTGCAAGGAGCTCCTAGTTACACGCCCTCCGTTGAGAAGTTCTGCTGTGAAGTCAGCAGCAATTTCTTTCTGCAGCGGAAGTTTCTTAACTTCTTATGGAGTATGTTGCAGGAATCTAGATTACAAATGGCAAAGATTTAGATTGCAGTCTCAAAGTGTGTATCTAAACAGAAGGCAGAATCTTCTGGAATTTGCTTTAATTGGGATGTCCAGAAGAAGCACAGGATGTAGTAAAACTCACAAATTGTAAATGGAAGTTGTTACTTGTTAGCGGCATAGGAAGCTTTGAAGTTCTTCTGTGAGTTTGGAAGAGGGAAGCAACTCAGGTTCTAGATGTTCCCTGCACCTAGTCATCTTGATTTCCATGGTTTCTAAGGTGACTATCAGTTTGTCACCATCCTCATTCTTTCTTCATTGCTTTGACTCATCCCAGTGAAACACTGGAGAACCCAAGAAGTCGTCTTTTGTCAGAAACTAAACAAAACCATCAGCTGTTTCCAGACTAAAGAGAGCACAGCATTATTGCCCCATGGCAGGTTTGTTTGCATGACCTTTTTCAAGCAGCCCCAAGTCAGCTCTGCCTGGAGTCCCTGATGGCCAGATGGGCCGTGTAGCTGTGGCCTAAAAGCTGTGCACCCACGTGAGTGTAACAGGGTGCAGCTTCTCTCAGTGTTGTCTGAACAACGCAGTTACACCTAAAAAGGTTTTTCCCCTCACTTCCTTGTCTTCATGTACTGAACAGCTGGTTACCTCAGGGTGATTATTTCTGTTCCTCCATACCCTTTTTGCTCCTGTCCTGAGTACTCCTAATATATGCCACCACTAACAGGAAGGCTCTACATTCAAATTCAAATTATACAAGTTCAAACATTTATTTTAAATCAGATGCTGTTCAGATGCTATGCAACTACAGATTTTACAGCGCAGTTTGAGTGAGCTTTGCAAACATCCCAAGCAAACAAACTTTACAGGAAACATAATCCTATTATTTTACTAATCTTTGGAATACTGGCTCACCAGCACCATCATTTGCAGCAGAGCACCTGCTCAGTTCCTTCTCAGGTGATCTTTTTACTGTTTCCTGTGTTGACACCTATTGGAGAAACAGTTTATACTAGTTTCAGAAATCATCTTATTTGATGATCTTATGAAACTGTGTGTCCGCAGTTTCCATCTATTAAAACTAATGAAACGTGCTTCAGTTATTGCCTGTTTCCCCACATACCCTTTCTAATGGTGTTCTTGATACTTTTTTTAGCCTTAGAGAACCTGTAGCATCCTCCTTAGCTTTAATTCTGGAACCCATTTCATCATTCACACTTGCATGTTCTCAGCGTGTTAGCTCCTGTCACAAGGAATTGTTAGCACATGATCATAATGTGTTGGGTATCCAAACCAGCGTGTGTGGGATCAGAGAGAGAGGACAATGAGGCGCTATCCTACCACTTGGTGAGTCTTAGCAAAGAGAGAGAGGCAGCTGGGCTCAGAGGAAGAAGGTGTGCTTCAAGAGATAGTTTCTGGTGGCATTTTTTCCCAACGTGTAGGAAGGTCAGGGGTTGAGAATGTATGGTATGTCCCCTCCATTGATATTCTTAAGCAGGGAATGACATTCATCTCTTTGTAATTCCTCATTGTAAAGCTAAATCTGCCCCCCCCACCCCAAAACAAACTGTTGTATTGTTCTCCTGTTATCATGATAAATTATGGATGTGAGACACGCTGAATCATGACAATGCTCCTTGTGCTGAAGAAAATCCTCTTTTGTCTTTTATGACTTTTTTATAGTCCTATTTATTGTGGGACCTATGTTAGGGTCTTAATGGGATTGCAAGGAAGCAGGAAGTGTACTAGCTGCTCTGGGATTTTAAGCACAGATGTCTTGAATATTCTGAGGAGCTTGCATCGGTTTATGATTGACCAGCAACCAGCATGTAAGCAGTGCTTTGTGTCTGCATGCGTACTTTATAAATCACAGAATCAGTTTGGGTTGGAAGGGACATTAAAGATTACCTGCTTCCACCCCGTTCTGCCATGAGCAGGTATACCTTCCACTAAACCAGGTGGTTTAGCCCCATCCAACCTGGTTTTGAACACTTCCAGAGATGGGGCAGCCACAGCTTCTCTGGGCAGCCTGTTCCAGTGCTTCACAAGCACAATACTTAAGGCCTTTGATTCAATAAAATGTTGTGTCCAAACCAGAACTGTACTTTTCCATTGTACCTTTTTAATTGTACCAATCACCAATTAGCTTCAGTTAGGTAATGTGGCTGCATGTGGCGGTATAGCTGCAATCCCCCAGACCGAACACAGGCCAAAACTAGACACCCATCCACACAGAATGGGGAGAAGGGTGACCTCTTCAACGCCTGCCCAGGGGACGAATGCCTATCACAGAATGGGTAAGGTTGGAAGGGACCACAGCGTATCATCTGATCCAACCTCCCAGTTCAAGCAGGGTCATCCCAGAGCACATGGCACAGGATTATATCCAGATGGTGCTTGAGTATCTCCCGTGAGGGAGACTCCACAGCCTCTCTGGGCAACCTGTTCAGTGCGCGGTCACCCGCACACTGAAGAAGTTCTTCCTCGTATTCGGAGCCAGGCTGCCCACCTAGCCAGGAGAGAGCGCGGCCGCTGGAGCTGACAGGGCTCCAGCGAGTCGGTGGGAAGCCCGTTCGGCGGTGTGTGCGGGACGGAGGGCAGAGCCCTGGGCAGCGGCGGGAGCTCCGTGGGCGCGGGGTGCGGGCGGGGCGGGGCGGGGCTTCCTCCGGCGGCCGGGCGGGTTCCCGGGGGCGGGCGGGGAAGCGCTGGCCCCACGTGAGGCAGCGGGGGGGGCGTGATGCCGAAAGGGGCGGGGTGGGGCGGGCGTGGCTGCGGGCCCGGGCCCGTGGGCGGGGCGTGCCGCGGGGCGCCGTTGGCGGCGGGGCAGCCGCTGCCGGGGCGGGCACGCAAACACCGCGCGGGGCGGGGGCCGGGCAGGACGGCGGCGGCGGCGGCGGAGCGGGCGGGAAGCGGCGGGGGCAGCGGGGCCGCCCCGCCTCCCTTCGGCGCTCCGGCGGCGGCCGGCGCAGGACAATGGAAGAGGCGGCAGTGGCAGCGGCGGCAGCGGCGACGGCGGGGGGCCCCTGCCCGGCGGATCGACCGGGGGCAACGGCGGCGTTGAGCGGGGAGAACGAGGCCGAGAGCCGGCAGGGCCCGGCGGAGCGCGGCGGGGACGCGGCCCCGCTCAACCTGTTGGATACTTGCGGCGTGTGCGGGCAGCCCATCCAGAGCCGGCGGCCCAAGCTGCTGCCCTGCCTGCACTCGGTGTGCCAGCGCTGCCTGCCGCAGCCCGAGCGGTACCTCATGCTGCCCCCCGTCCTGGCGCCCGCGGCCACCGCCGCCCCCAAGGAGCCGTTGCCGGCGGTGCCCCCTTCCTCACCCGTCCCTCCTCCGGCCTCCCCCCTGCACTGCACGCCCGGTAAGTGCCCTCCTGCCGCCCGCCCCTTACCCTGCCTGCTGCCCCCTCCACCCCGCCCCACGGAGGCCTGTGCGTCGCGATAGGCGCGGGGTAGCGGGGAGCTGTCGCGACTGGGTGCGGTGGGTGAGGTGCAAGTGCCCGTCCGCGGGGCTGCCGGGGCACGGAGCTGTCGGGATGAGCTGTGCTCGCAGCTCACCAGCGCCAGGGCTGGCGGCGGCGTTGTGCTCTGGCTTGGTTTATTTTAATGGTTATTTTTAAATTTCCCACCTCGGAGGGAAGGCAGCACTGTTGTACTTTCCCAGGACCTCTCTGTGCGGATGGAGAGAAGCGGCGAGAGCCGCCCCCCCGATTCCCCCGCCGGGCCGGGTGTGCGGGGCTGGGGCCGGGGAGCCCCTCTCGGGGGAGCCGGGGGCTCTGGCCCCTTGCCTGCGGAAAACCTGAACACGGGCTGATAGCAAGGCGGAAAAACGTAGCGAGAAAGCAGACTCTATTTGAGTGGTGCTTGTAGAGTGTAGCGCGGCCGGACGGGAGTCCTGCAGGTGTCATCCGCTCAGCCGGGAGGGACCCCGCGCCTGGGCGGGGACCGGGGCGGACAAGCGATAATAACACTCGTGCGCCTGATCGGCAGCCCGGATGGGTCTGCTGGTGCATTAATGTACAGCTTAGTTAATTGTCGCGCCGAAGGGAGAGTGCTGCGAAGAAGTTTTGGTAAGCTCATGTACTGACACAGGAGCCTGTGTCAATGTTTGAAAAGTACGTCTTGCTGTAGAACATGTGTAATAAACTTCTCCAGTCTGAAAGTACCTTCCTAATGTTTTTGGTTTTGTTTCTTTTCTATTCCTCTTAGGTGTAGTGGATCACTTAGCTTAGGCATCTAACAAAATCTTCATCTTAGAAAAAGGAGCAAACAAGCATCCTTTACCAGAAACAGGTTAAGATCTTGTTATGATCCAGTTAGTGTTAGTGAGATATACCTGTGCCCAAATTACAGTGCAAAGGAGACCATATGCCCAAGTCAATAATATGGCATTTATTTAACAGTAAATGTGAGGGAGAGAAAGAGGTCAAGCAGAAGATAGTCACCTGTGGATCCAGTGTCATGCCGTTGGTCCTTCTTCACCCTAGGCTTCTTGGTGGTAGGGGTACCATTTTTATACAGTCCAGGTTCCAGATGTCCGTGCAGTGGTCACAGATGCTGTTCCCATAATGTGGAGTGGGAGTGTATGAGCAGTTGCTTCCTCTCCCACAGTTCCCCACAGTGGGAATTTTTGTCCAGATATGTTAACAAGGATGTGCTAACCAGATCTCTTCTCTGCTAGGCTTGGAATAAGTGCCTTCCTGTCATAATTTCTCCCTTCTGTGCTTATCTCAAATTCCTGCAGTAGTTTTATCTGATGGCAGGTTCCTTCTGTGACCTTGACAATATTTGAGACAGACAACAGTACTCTTTAAGTCTTGGAGAAACTTGAATAGAAAAGAGGAAGTGTGATGAAGTGGGGCTGCTCTGTAGGTATTAGTGGAGGTTGTGCTTATTGGGATGTGTAGTGGGCTCAAGTGAAAAGTAGTAACTTGGAGTTGACCATTTTTAAGTCCCTTAAGTGCATTTAGGAAAACTTCACCATCCTGCCAGCAGTTCTGACCAAAAGATTACAGCTTGAATATGCAAAGTGTTTGCAGCAATTCATAAAGGAACACCTTCTTCAGAGAAAGGAATATTTGGAACAATTGGAGACACTTGTTTCAGAATATCCGAGAAACTCCTGAGTATGTTATTAACAGGGTATGCTGAGCTTCTTCATCCATGTGGACGTCTGTGGTAGTATATTCATTCAGTCTTTCAGTTTAGCATGTAGTGTATGTTGCAGTCAGACTGCCTAGTCAGAATTTACAGAATAGGAAAATCTGGGAGACCCAAAGCCTATATACTTAAGCTTGGTTAATCCAGGAGATGTTAATTGCTCATAAGTCTACGAGTAGAACTGTGAAATTTTGCATGGCAGCAATAGACAAAATACAAGCTTTGGCGTATAATGAGATATTTCAGGACGAGATAGTTGGAAATAGGAAAGAGGGCAGAGATACAGCAAACCCAGAGGTTGCAGCATAGACAATATCATCATCTTTTTTGAGGTCATGAGCAGCATAGCCCCATTCCCAGATGTTCTGTTTAAATATAGCAGAAATTGGGGTCTGTAGTTGAGTGAGAAATAAGATACATCATAAGAATTAAAAGATTAGTGCTATTCAAACATCTGCTTGAGAGAACAAATGATAGGTGAAATAATGAATCATAGAAACAGGAAACCTGTAGCTGTGTGTCCCTCCTTTGATTGGGAGTTGGTTCTGTGTGAATGAATTTACAGTACATATTCCCCCTCATTGCAGACTTACTGTATTTTTGGTGACAATTATTTTTACCCTCTTGGCTTTTCTCCCAATCTACTTTCATGCTTCCACACTACCATTCATTGTCCAATAGGAAGAAGAATCTCACACTCTCCTTGAGGCATTTTATTCATCTTTTTTTGTCACGGTTTTGGCCCAGCTAAAATGATAGGGACTATATATTAGATGGCTATGTCCAAACTTGATGATGTGCATTTTCTGCTTTCTGTTTTCCAACTGGGACAAAAAAGATGTGAACTCGAAGTTAGGATTGGGAGAAAAAAACCCTGTCGGTGTCCAAAACTGATTATATTGAGGAAATTTGTTACAGTTTTTAAATTTTTGGAAGAAGGAAGGACTAAACTGTCACCTCTGCTGCTAATATGTTGTACAAAATGCTTATGAGGAATGACATGAAGAAATAAACTGAAGAGTATAAGCTTAGAAAGTTAGATAATAAATGCCTCTCATGATGTAAATTATGAAATTACTGTGACTAAACTGAAGAAATAAACAGCAAGGGAGCTGTTTGTGCTGGAAGGAATGTCCTAAGTAAGGAACACAATAGAATTGCAAACTATGAAAAGCTCCTGAAAGATAAGCAGACTGCGTTTGCTGAGCACTAAGATGTTGCACAAAAAGAAGCCTGAAGAAAGAGTGGTAGAATGGAGTTTGTCTTGAACAAAGGAGAGGATGTGATTTGGAAAGAACTTCACTGAACCAGCCCTGAGATGAAGTGTTGTACCAACATCCAAATTAGTGGAGGAACAGATAGCTAAAGAGGTAATGGAGTCTCAAGTAAAATCTGGAGATGCTTTTTGTCTTCAGCAAACTGTTTCCAAGCAGAAAGAGTCCTTTGCTTTACTAGAATAAAGTGTGTCTCCAACTTCTAACATATAGGCAAGTTTAATTGGGAGAATGTTGACTCTCTATGAAGCTGTGGGGGAAGAAAATCAAACTTGGTGATCTAGAATGAATTAAAAATTCTAGAGTTGCTCACTCGAATACAAGATTCAATATGCACAACAGTAGACAAGTGGCAAGACATGCAAAGGAGTTTAGTGTGGTGGATGATAATCCTGCAGAGGTAGGCTGGTGGCAAGACCAGTTGACATTGATATAATCTATACTTCCACATGAATTTTCTATAAAAAAGAAGACCTGGAGTTTAAGATTTCTGTAATGTCTCTGAAGTTTTAGATGTTGCAAAATCATCTCTGTGTCAGACACGAGTGCTTTTAGCACTGGAGAACTCACTGCTTGCTTTCTGAATGTCCAGTGACAGCTTATTTAATTCAGGTGACATTTTTTTGTTGCATTGCTCAAAAATGTGTTGCCTGACACACAGCATTATGAACTGCAGGGAGTGCTGCGAGAGAGGGTCCGTAAATGTGACACTCGCTTTTGAGCGTCTACAGGCGCCACTACTGAATATCTTGGCTAACTTCATATGAGCTTTCCTTTTGTTTCTCAAATGGCCATTCTTTACTTTTTCGATGGTGTGAGTTGTAAGTGGTGCAAACAAAAAGGCTGTTATTAGAAATCTGCCATTTGCCCAAAGTTTGTGCTGGGCAGCACTTCAGTGATTGGTTGAATAGTAGCCAGTACTTAAAGGACAGTGTTGGTAATGTGGAGAACCTCATCATACTCTTCTGGAATTTTTAGATGTGAAACAGGTACATGAAAACTGTGAAGTTATAGATTGAGATACTATTCCTTTTCAGAACTATTTTAAGTTGTGAGTATCTTTGTTTTTTCTTAATCATCAGTCTGTACACAAAATAGATTGGAAACTGGTGTGAAGAAATACTTCTGAATGGAAACTCATAGCAAAGTTTTATACAGGTATCATGATGAAATCTTACTGGTGTCAATGCCAAAAATAGTAGAAGGAAACTTTTTTTTTCCTGGTAATTTATCTGTAGACTAACCTGCTAGCAAACAAATCTGTATGAAGTTGTTAGAAGCATATGATGTTTGGACAACGCCAGGATATAAATTCTTGTGGAATGTCCACACTAAAAATGCAAATATGTTTGATACTTGCTGTTAATTAAGGAGTAAATACTTCAGAGTTAGGGAGCCCCTCGTGGTCTAGTGGTTAAGGGCGCGGCACTGTTACCGCTGGTCAGGGACACTCCTCGGGCAGATGGAGCTCGTTAACCCTGTAAAGGCAATCCATCTACGTCCTGAGGACCTCGCTGCAACTATCCAAGCTCGCTTGGCCCCGGCAGATGAACCTTAGGATTAAAGGGTGGGCTCAGTTCCGCGCACACTGTGTCTCACCTAAAAAATCCAATGCGCAGGCTGGAAGGTGTAAAGACCTTCCCCGGATCTTCGCTCGCGAAGACTGGCCATTATTACTTCAGAGTTACTAAACAAGGATTTCAGGGATGCTCATGTTTCATATTTCAGGTTAATAATGCCCAGAAATATTTGTTTAGCAAGACAGTTTCAAGTTCTTTAAGGCATGAAGACCTTACCCTTGATATCCCCTCATGTATGTGGATGGCATCTGTTTTATTATGTCCCATAGTCAGTCCTTATACAGATAGCTTTAAATTCTTTCATAGTCTCATCTGATCTGGATATCTGGACTTTCCAGTGCCATCACT